ATGGAAATAATTCACGCTGTAAGTGTGATGAGGATGAGAAAAAAGTTCAATAACTAGCATGAAATAATAAGATAACTCCATTAAACCAAATTAATTGTCAAGGCAATTGCATCCGGGCAAAGAATTAAAATAAAAACGAATTGTGTTAGAAAACATTTAATTATACCAGAATATTTAGTTTATACCAATTGTTTGTACAATTCAAGAATGAAAATAAGATCAAAGTGTGTTAGAGTCCATTTATTAATACAAGTCTATTTACTCTATACGAGTTGCTGTTCGATTCACCATCGCAAATAAAATATATACTTGTCTACCTACTAATATTGAAAGCATATTATTTACTCCACTGGGATAACGAAACACATACGTAGAGCATCACTTACGCACACTACGCTTATGACATGTACGTGACAGCTTTATACAGAGTGGATATTTGTAAGCGTGTCCTTGTTGTTGATGAGGTTGAGCTGGGCAATTTAATGCAGACACTTTGGCAACAGTCAAGTGCTGACAAGTTGTGTATTTAGACGCTGAGTTTGGAATCCAACGAATTGCTAGAATTTTATAGAAAATGGCAATGTCATAATACGTCATAATATTGAAATTGTATTCAAGGTAGTCAATTGAGTGGTTTTGGCCTTTGTTTAGATTAGACATATAAAAACAAATTTTTTGAGGTTCTTTACTGTACAGAGAGATTAGTTGATCTGGAAGTCATTCGAACACTGCTTTTTGTCTTGACTCTATGTAGAAGAAGAGTTTTTCATCTGTCAATGATTGTTATTATTCCTCAACTTGTTTCCTCTATTAGTGTGGCAACGTTGGCATGTACGCATGCATAACTAGTACTTCATATTTTTTATTTTTGCTGTAATTTTTTTATTGTTCATTGTCGGCTGAGGCAGCAATCAAAGCCAATAATTGCAAAAATGTGCTACCCTGAAAAAAACAACAAAGGCATAAAAAGAGCTATTGACGGCTTGGCGTCGGCGATGTTGTTTTGCTTGGCGGATGGCGTTGTGATTGTGAATGGGCGGAAGCTTACGCACACAATTTCTGTAATGAGAATTCGTGATGTCGTCTTAGATTTATCTATATTCCTTGTTGTTCTTGTTTGGGTTGTGTGTTTGGGTAATAAAATAATTTACACTCATAAATTTGTTGGCAGACTGTTACTAGTTTACGCCTTGAACAGTTTTGGCCACCAAAATGGCGGCAAATTGTGAAGTTGCGTCGACTTTGAGTGTAAAAAGTTAGTCACTTATAAATGTTAATAATAATAAATGTTTGCATGTATGTATATGTATGCATGTATGTATATATAATGATGTGCATAGTTAATGTCTATGAAAAAGAATTTTCCAAGTTTTGTTGGTTTAAACTTTGAACAAATGTTTGTCAATGATACCCATTCCTTCTGATTTATCTTAAGAAAAGAAGGTTATTTTATAGTAGTGATTATATTTTCCTAACCCCAGAAGACCAATTATTAATGCTTTTATTGTTGAGTAGTTGCACAGATACTTTCGTTTTCTTTAATTTATAGGCAATAAGTTTAATTTTTCCAATCATAGTAATCAACACTTATTCGCTATAAATTTGTATATCTACAAATAAGTTAAGTAGTACAACTCTGCGACATTTTGCGCAAGAAACCTTCAGTGGTTTGTATAGTTTTCTTTAACTAAGTTAGTTTTTAAAATTTTTGAGTGAAGATATTAATTAAAATCATTTACATTTGGTATAAAGTCTGGTGAAAAAAAGCATTATTTTACATTAAATCGAGGGTTTTATTCAGCATAGTAAGAATGATCCGATCCAAATAAAATATGAACTGTTTTATTCGTTAACCTTCGTCCCTGTTGGTAAAAAACTTTGACAATCGATTTTCACAAGCTTCTCTTGAGGCGAAGTTTTCACCGGCAAAATCATACGCTATAGATAAGAGCAGAAAATAATTACTTGGTGCCAGTAAAACCTTTCTGACCGTCAATCCTGGCTTGGCAATCCTTTGCCCTGGCTCACCGCAATTCTACCACAACAGTTTTCGCTCGATATTTTCGTAAGTGACTCACTTTTCATCACTAATAACCGATCGATATTGTTGTGGTGCAGCAGCTATACAACCGTTTCTTTTCATATCCAGCCATAACTAAATGGTTCCAAACGGTATTTTTTGCCATTTTCAACTCCTAGGAAATTGAAATAGTGATTTTATGACAGTCGGACTCAACGATTTCCATTATTTCATCAAGAAGTGATGCTTTTTTGACATCAAAAGTACCAGACCGGAGTCGATGAAACTAAAATTTGGGTTGTGCTTTTACTTTTATAGCAAAGCAATCACAAAACTGTCTAGGAAGCTTTTTTATCCTTATGACTCCATATAGCGTTGATGGCTCTAATACTATGAGAGATACAGAGTACTAAAGCCATTATTGGATGATTGCTTTCGTTTGGCATCACATATTACAGGGTAATTCTTATCGATTCATTATACAGGAGAACCGGCCCCTAACTAAGCTGTAATTACTAAAGAGTTCGCAGTATAATCGGAACAGTGAAATTTTTCAGCCAAAGCTGATCTTATGGTAATTATAATTATGAATATTTTGTTAATTTAATTAAAAGTTGAAATCCGTAGTCAAAAGCTAAAAAATAAAAATATAAATATTGTACATAAATATGCTTAAAAGCAAGTGTACATACATACATATATACACAAAAGCGCGTACATGAATACTTACTCACGAACAAATTCACTCCAAAGGTCAAATAGTTTGCCAAGCTGATTAATGCTTCAAACAATTAAACATCTCACTCTGAGCATTCACTGAACTGCTGAGCTCATAATTTCGAGTTCAGCCGATTGCGAAATACCAGAGCACCAAGTACGCTCCCTGATGGATCTATTAAAAGTCTCTGTGGACTAATTATAAGTTCTTTGCTGATTCACTTGCTACAGCAAACGCAACGCAGTGACGTGAAGTTGCTTGTATGTAGACGTCTTCGCGCGCCTCCTTCATTCAGCAGCCGCAACAAGAACACTAGCACTTAACCGAAAGTTAAGTTGTGCTTCGGGATTAGTGAATGTCGAGAAGTCAAACATTTTTGTTTAAAACTTTCTTATTTAACTTCTACTGGCGTTCGTTTCAGGCACCGTTTTACTGTTGTGCCTACTTGCTTACTTACCGTGCTTTTATTGTACGAAGCTTCGAGCTTATGAGGCACAGCTGCAGCTATTGCAATACTTTGCGTAAAATAAAGTCTTCTCTTTTCGTTTTAATCGTTTTTGTTTTATTTTTAGCGAATTAAAACTTTTGCTTCTAATTAAATTTTTACACAACAGAAATTATACAAGTTTATTATGCCACAACGAAGTAAATAAGGAAAACAATGAAAAATTAGTAAATACGCCACTTACACTGCCAATAGTAATCACAAGGGAGAAGAGTAGAGAATATAAGTGAAAATGGATAAAAGTAATCTTCTTCAATGACAAGAAGTTGAAGCGAACTAGTGATGGAAATTGCTAAGTAGACAATTTATTCCAATTAGAAAATAATGGTAATTTCCATTTTGGTGTTTAGTCGAGATATTTTCTTAACTTCTTCTTCGCTTAAAACGCCATAAAATTTTTAGGTTTATGAAAATATTTATAAATATCTTTAGTTACAAAACTTGGCTTGAAAAAATTAGTCTAACTGTTGATTAGTTCTTAACAGTGTCTTAAAAAATTAGACCGAGTTTCATTAACCATTAATACCTCGAACAGAACACATTACGTCAAAGCATAAAGCCTTAAAGCCCACTTCGTTTCGTAATACAGTAATATTACAATTAAAAAAACTATTAAGGATTGCAATCAAATGAGCACTGGCAATAATAATTTCTAATTCATGGCATAAAACTCAAACCTCGATCATCAGTGTGACTTCAAAATAAACGATTTTATGGCTATTAAATCATGAGTCTAATATATACTTGTAGATATGATCTATTGAAGTAATTCGAAAACACCCTCTTTGTGACTCATTCTTTGGCAACTTCAAGTTTAACGTTTTCCACTTAAAACTAGTTTTTATTCATTTACTTTTTTAAATAATAAAATAGTGTCTCTGCAAATGAACCACACTCGCAGCCAAACAATGGTCGGCAATAAAAAGAACACTTTGCACTCTCCTCGACAAACATTAAAAAGCCATTAGAACTAAGTGATGGCAGAAAATTATACTCATATAAAAGAGGCAAAGGCGAGACATGTATAAAGCTGCTTTTAGAATTGCGTAGAGCGTGGTTAGTTGCATAACAGTAAGTAATGTTGTATATATGTATAACTATATACTTTTCGCTAGAATGTTACAAAATTTAATTTACATACGCGTACATACCTACTTGTATATACTTATTGTTTGAAAACTGTATGCTGATTTGTAAGTTATTTTAAAATTATATTCACTCCGTAGAAGATCAAAAATAAAAATAATAATTTCCATTAAAATTATTCTCATTAGCAAATTTCTATTGGAACACTACATATATGGTATGTAAACCCTTCTTTCCTGGAAACGATTTATGACTACCATATTATTGGATTTTGTAACAAAATATCAATTTTTTTAACAATTGAATACATTTTATCAATTGGTTGAGGGAATCCTTTTTTTGAGATATTGATCTGAAAATTTGCACACGTCCTGTTTTCCTTGAGAAGCTGCCATACGAACTGATCGATCCAAATCAAGTTCTTGTGTGCCAAGGTATTTTCCTAAAATAATAGCATAGATTGTTTCCCAAGGTAACCCCTGTGAAGGGTGTTATAGAAGTTAAAAGTTTTTTTCTTGTTTCATGTAAAACTTTTACGCAGCACACAACATTCTAACTTATAAACCATCAAAGTGAAAACGTTTTGTTATTATAATTAATTTCTAACCACAACTCTACCAGAAACATTAGCCGAAATATGTCGAAATTAACATTTACGTTGAATTTTTGTATTTGAATATGTTTTTATTTTTGTTTTACTAAATAAAATGTATTATTATTTATATATTAATTCTTTAAAAAATATTTTCTCAAAATATGTGTACATTAAAACTTAACCTAGAAATGTATGCATATATTTGCTTTTAAAACGAAATTTTATAAATCGAGTCCAAAAGTTTGCACGTTAAGTTACATTTTGCATTCGTGTAGTGGTATTTAAACAAAAATTAAATGAAAGCAATCAAATAAAATAAATCATCACCATCGAAATGCCACAGAAAGTGTAGCACTCTTCAACTTCATCGCCAACTTCATTAACATGCATATCATGCTTCAAGCACTCCACTCTCCAACGCAGCGTAGAGTTCCAGCAATTTACAGTAATCTAGTATACTTGATGCAAAGTTGCAAATACATACACACATCAGAATGGATTTGTACGGAAATTTCTCCCATCTAAGCACTAATCCGCAGGAATCGCGCCACCAACACGCACAAACCGGTCGCACTCAGCATGGTCACGTGATTGGCATTGCCGAGACGTGATGGTGCCGCATTGCAGCCATCCTCATAGCAAGTGCAGATCCTCTGTTTATATCCCTCATTGTCAGCATCGAAGCAGTAATTCGTCTTCTCGTTTTTGTTGTTGTCCAACAATCCACAGCTGCGTATGATGCGATTTTCGCCGCTCACTTGAATTTTTGTAATCGTCTTGCGGCAAAACATATCGGGCGATTCGCATTCGGTAAGGAATTGCTCGTCACGTGGGGCACGCGGTGTTATCAAACGCAATTCCGTGCAGTCCTCTTGCAGATGGGAGTTACACTGGTGACAACGAATGGCGTTCACTGTTGAAAAATGAGAAGAAGAGAAAGGAAATAAATGAAAAGCATTTAAAAAGCTAATTTACTTTTTTTCAAATAAAGGCAAAAAAATTCTTTAGTTCGAAGGAATGCGCTTAGTTATAAGCTTTTTTGATGTAAGCTACTTGAGCAATCTTTGACTTATTCATATGTATTTATGGCTACTCCCTAACTCGACCTACTAGAAAACATTTTCCATAAGAGCCAGCATATTATCCAAATTAAGGCGTGGATAGAACTTGCCTTGAGAAAAGTTTACAAAGAGGCAGAAGCTCCTAAGCTTTTTTCCAAAAGGGCTTTCTCAGATAAGATCATTAAATAAGAGCGAGGTTATGACGTCGGCTTCGCTAAAGATAAATTTACAAGTGAGGCTCTCAAACTTCTTTTTCTATATGCCTTCTCAACACTAGGCAATATGATGAGAAAATACCGAGTTTATGAGTATAAATATCAAATGTTGTGAATATATAATTTTTGGCTATGTCAACGAGAGATCTTTATAACCTCAACTTTAAGGTAGTGTGAGTTGTGGCCGAATACCACGAAGGTATAAACTGAGAAATATTTCGTCTCCAGTGATAATTTTATGGAATATTTTTATGGAAAAAATAAGTTCCCTACTGACCTTTTCTTTCATATTTCACAATCCACCCACACTCTTCTATTACTAACACATTTAATAAAAATTTATAACCACAAACTTGGTAACCACTTACATTATTCAATTCCTGTTGGTATATATCTTTTTTTTTTTGATATTTATACCTATTTATTTTGACGACATCAAAAGTTACATAAATATTTGGCGCCACAAGTTCCACAATACCCGCCTTAATTCTACCAGACAAATTGACTCGAAAAAACCCCATTTTGTTGTGTAATAACGGTAATGGCGCAAATATAATGGAATTTACGAATCATCACAAAAAATCATTACGGTCATTGCCGACAAGTGTTGTCCATTAAAATGCAATAATGCTTTGTCATATACATTTGTCTTCGAGGAGAATAAATAAAACTTTCTTACATTGCTCTGCTTCAAATTAATTATGGTAAAGTGTCACCAACAAACAACGCACAAGTGGATTTTACTGACTGACAAATGAAGTATGAAGGACACATGCCAAATTTGGTAAAACAACAAAAAGTGAAGGAGTTGTTGTGTTCGCATTCATTTGATGGCGCTCTATTTTTATCTTCATGGGTATACACTTGAAAATTATAAATAATGAAAATTCTCAATTTTGTCCAGTTGAATAATAAATTGTGAAGCGCTATGAACAAAATGAATCATCAATCTACTTAAGTACCTTGGAAAAAATAAATACATACTGCACTACCTCTGAATAGGTCTACCTATTACCACAATAGTTTCATCCCTGACTACTTAATAATTGCAAAAAATGTCAATGTTCGTCGTTCATAAAAACACCAATTGATATTGAGTAAAAAATTCCTATAAAACAAACTATTTTCTTTTGAATAAAGAGGGAGAGAAAGACAAGCGGGGTGACAGTGATACGTATCTACGACAAGCATAGAGAACTAATGGGGATGCATTCGAGAGAAAAGAGATCTGGGTTAACATTAGGTATCAAACAGAGTTCATATCTTTACTTGGGCCTCTGAATTCGTGATTTCAGTCTCCGCTCAAGTTTTAATACAACCTTAATTCTCCATAATCACAATTGAGTCTCCCTCGAATATAATACCTTCACTTGGCATTAAGTTATATATTCGCATTCAGATATATATCTCGGAATTAATGGTAGATCGGTCCTAAAATTGTATATAATATCTAATAATGCTTATCTCACTTAATCCTAACAATTCAACTTGTTAACACTGCAATTATTTAGACAGCAAATTTCATTATATTCAAATTAAATTTCACTTCAAATTCAAATTAGCTGATCAAACGGACAGGTTAATTGTCCTTTCATTTTCATTTTCTCCCTTAAAAAGTGAGTACTGGCACGGGCCTTGAAACGCAGCTGTCATGCAAGTGTCAGTCGGAGCGTTCGCACATGCAACAAACTACAGTAGATAAATGTAGGCAAGCGTGGCAAAGTGGCATGCAACTGTCTAAACTATTACCCGACTACCAACTATACATATGTACATACATATATATACAAGCAAGTATGTTATTATATATATCAGCCGACAAGTGGATAGTGGTAAAGTGGCACTATTGTAAGTTGCAATTGCCTTTATTGTTACTACTGTCAATTTGGCAAATGTCAGATGCTTGACATTTACTCGCGTTCGGTTCTTGTGTTACATATATACACATACATATAATAAATATATATACATACATACATATATACTTACGTGGGTAAATATTTAGAAAGTACCCAGCTTTCCCATAGAGAAATGTAAAAAACATTCCACAAATAATTTTATAGAATAATTTCGTGCCTAGCCGATTACTAAAATCCGACTGTGCTGGAAACTGTTTTATGTGATTTACATATACATATGTACATATGTATGAGACCTGCTTTATTCCTGATTCCTCAATAAACATTTCTCAATTCATTAGGGCACATAATTAGGAATAGAGGCAAAATTTAATATTTGACTCTCTTTTTTAACTTATTAACTTTAACTTGAATAATTGGTCTGTATGTGTGTACATTTGTATGCATTCGTATTTTAGCTAATCTATAGAAAGAGGGTATTCACTTCAAAAAATTAATATATATGTGTACCATATGTCATGTTTATATATATTAGGGTGAACCAAAAAAAAAAAAACTTTCCACTTTTCCAACTTACAATTTTTTTATGAAAAAAAAAATACCCCTGCGGTAGATGTTTGAGGAAATTTTATGCTAGAATCGGCGATGCAAAAAATATTAGCCTAAACGGTTCAAAAGTTTTGGTATTTCTGATAAAAAAATATTTTTTACATTTAATTAAAATGAATGATCACCGACACTTTTTAAAATTAAGCTAATAATGCTGCCTTGCAAAGATATTTTTCTTTTTGTAAACCATGCAATCAAATTTGACCCGGACTAGCAAGAAAAACTACATTTTCTCTTATTAGTGTACATAAGGATAACAAATTTCACGTAAACGTACAAACTGTTGTACCAATCCATGTTGTTTGTAACACCCAAAAGAGTCATGTCCATGTGTCTGTATATATACGAATTAGTTCCTAAGTTTTTGAGATATAGATCTGAAATTTTACAGGTGTCCTTTTCTCACCAAGAAGCTGCTCTTTTGTTGGAACGGCCGATAGCGGACCACTATAGCATATAGCTCCCATACGAACTGAACGATCGAAATAAAGTGCTTTTATGAAAAGCTTTTTCATTTGCGTTCATATTTTCCTGAAATTTTGCATGGCTTATTGCCTAAGGTACAATCTCCGAAGAAATTGTTCAGATCAGATCACAATAGCTTATAGCTGCCATACAAATTGAGCGATCGAGGTTCTTGTAAGCAATCTTTTATATTTGTGAAGAGTATTATAGCTTCGGTGCAAGCGAATGTTAACGTTCTTTCTTATTATGTATCGGTTTGCGCGTGCAGTTGAAATAGACCAGTCCGGGTAGAATTTGATCAAATGGTATAGGTTCATTTTAAGCCATAAATTCGATAGATTAGTTTTTGGCTCACTCTAATATATATGTATATAAATACTATATACAAAGTTCACAGATAAGCTATTATATACCGTAGTGCACTAGCTATTCGCTCTCAGCACATACATACTTATATAAAAATGTATTTTATTACTTTGTACGTATGTATACCTGTATATATGTAAATTAGCATAGCCTTGCAGGCAAATAGATCGAATTTTTCACTATTTAATTCTACTTTTCTCGCCACAGTAACACAAAATCAAAGCACAGCAGATGCAACTCATTTATTTGCTGCAGTATTAAATTATTGTTGTTGCTTTTTTTCTTTACTAGCAGTATTAAGCACATTTTCTAATTAAAACATAAACAAAAAAATGCAAGGAAGTTTAGCGACCATATGTTCAGTTTACATATATACATACCATATTCCATACATAATATGTTAACCTAGTCCGTTGCCAAATTGAAAATATGAGGAAGTGCAATTAGAACTAAGTGAAAATGGGAAGTTATAGAAAGTAAAGGTACTTATTTAACAATATGTTGTTATCAGTATTATTTAATATATAATTGTGTGTTTTCATATATTGGAAATCTTTGGCAGTAGCAGTCTTGATTCGCCATTTCTCTGCACCCTATCATTACGTGCTAGTCTCTTGCCAAAATTTTACATGCAAAAGCATCAACAAAGCTATCAAGATGAATTGATAAAAAAGATTGTGCGGGTACCTCACTAAAGTTAGATAACCGCTATCTTCAAAGCTACCAAATTTTATTTTACACATTTTAGACCACATTAAAAATTGTGAATGGTTTATGTGACAAATACCTCTCAAAAATGAAAATTCAAATATTTGTATTATTGATTTTATTATGCCAACCTAAACGATTTTTATCAATTGTTTGTTCGGTACATCACTATACAAAGTTTAAAGAATAACATACAAGTATATATGGAAGTAAGTGTCTGAAGAAAATAGTTATCCTAGTAAGAAGTTAATACAAGGGAAAGCGTGTTTGTCTTAATAAAATTATATAACCGTTTGCTATTTAACTCTATTTAATTAAATCAATCTATATAGTATATACCAGTATTTCGATAAAGTATTTTTTCTAAATTTTCAATATTATTTAAAAAGTGTCTAGAAAATCTATAAGCTTGTAGCGATTTTTATAAAATGGCAAATTTGGTAACTGCTGTGGAACTATAACGTACAATTATCGGTTCTGGTACTAAAGTTGTTTGTAAGTGTACATGATTTTGCAAAATAATCGCAATTTTGAATGACAGTAGGGTCTACGTTTGCACATAACATTATAATTGTCAAAGAGTTTCCAAATTTCAGTTATTTCCTGTATATATGCCATATATCATATGGAGCGCCCATAAATAACAATGATAATCGTTTAAAGAACTGACAGCAAGGCTGACTTTTGAGATTTCTTATGGCCAAGATTGTGTTCCTTGTTGCTTATCTAATTCAAATAACGAGCTCAGATTTAACATACACTAAATAAATGCGAGCAAGTGGTTTAAAAATTTGTTAATTTGGCAACAAAGTTATAATTGGTACTAAATTGTATAGATAAGGAATATTTTACATGTGAAAATTTTCTGTAGAACAAATTTAATTACCAAGCATATGTGAAACTATTTTTAATTTATATTTACTTTAATAGTTAGACCGACGCTAATTAGACATAACTTTGCATATGGATGGGTCTTTTTTACAGCGTAGTGAGAGAAATTAGTAAAGCATATGAATTCTTTCCACACATTTGTACAAAAACTAAGTTTTACGTTTATACACAATACACAATAGAGGAAAAAAGGTTACCAACTGATTTCCATTCTTTTGGATAAGTTGGTATCTATTTTTTTTTTCTGAATGGTCAAAAACCTACTGTTCAGAGTTCCTTACTAGAGATTTAATCAAAACATATTACATTTAACACACATTGTGCATTAGGGTAAGCCACAAAAACTAATATCGAGCGTATGGGTTAAAGTTAACCTACATATAACAGAGAAAAAACTATCACTGCAAGGCAAGATTAGTAGCTTAAAAGCAAAGTTTCCCATATAAATAACACTTCAAAAAATCGATATTCATTGAAAATTCAATAACTTTCAAACCGTTTTTTTTTTTTTTTAATTAAAAATTCGAACGTTTAAAAGCTTTAAATAGTTCACCCTATTGTGCACATTAGTCTACATCGCATCATAAGGTTTGCTTTGCGTGTCATAACAATTCGAACTACCTTTAATTAATAATTATAAATATAATAAATACTATTTTGAGCTTAAAGTTATTAACATACATATGCGCAGTAAATAACAAATTTTCTAACTGCTGCGAAAAACAATTAGCACTAGGGTGGCAATTAATCACTTAAATATGTACAATATCTATATATATAAACCTAATATACCAAAGGAGTACTTATTAAATTTTTCTTGTTAATTTTTGATTATTGCAAATATATTTAAAAATTTCGAAATTTCAAAATCAACGAAAATTTTTCGCCTAGTTGCATGCACTATAAATTTTTTTTATATACCCTAAATAGAGTATATAAAGCTTGCTGTAAAGTTTGTAAAATTCAGAAGAAAAAAGTTTGCCACAAATTTTGTAATAAAATATATACATAAATGATCAGCTAAAGGATGGCCGATATCAAACCACTATATCGTATAAATGCCATACAAACTGAACAATCGTAAAATTTTTTTAGATCAGATAACTATATCATATAGCATTAAACCTTAGAAAGCTTTGAATTTCATTACTTATGTAAAATTTATTTCAAAATTTTTATCTTTGATAAACTCTTAATGTTTAAAATATCTTGCTGTGGACCAGCAGCAACGTAACATGTAAAAGATTTTTTTTACTCATTTCTTTTTTAACTAATAACGACCGGCCGTATTGCTTCTATATAAATTTTCATTTTGAATGATTTATACTTCTTTGAATATACTTATGTATATATGTAACATATATATTTTGGCAATTGTTTAGATTCAATCATCCACAAAGGTCAAAGTGTCGATGTATCGTTGCGCTTCGGCGCCTTGCCATTGTTTCTAGGCTTTTATTTCTGGCACACTCTTCGCGCAAATGAAATGTATTTGTTTTAAATCAAAGCAATTTGAACAATTCGAAAATAACACAATGGCGACAATATACTTTTAAATAATTGTGTACATTCGTATGATGAATTTAAACGAGTCAAAAAGTCGATTATATCAAAAAAAAAGCCTATAGCCGTATTTATCGCATATAACAGACGTATGTATATTTATGACTAACGTTTACTAGTAGATATGTTATTTTATTAGGCACGTGTTTATCAGCATGTGACACATGGGAACTTTATTTTTGTAATTTATCAAATCGGTCTAGCCTATTCACTCAGTTACAAATAAATATTGACCTAAGTTTTGTCTAAACTTATACAAAAATATTTTGCAATAATCTGCTAAAATCAGCTAATCAAGCTTCCTTACAGTTGGATAATTAAATATTAATGCCATTAACCCTACCTTCCAGCATAGCCGTATCAACTGCTAAATGATTTAACTTATCGACGTCACTCGTTGTTTTACTCAATTTTTTTTTTATTACGACTTAAATAATAATTTTAGTATGTTCACCTTTAAGTAGTTTTGCATTTAACTGCCGGTAATTAAGTTATTACCCTACTCAGCAATAAAATGCACTTAAATCAAATGAACCTAACAGAAACTAGTTAAAAAGCGATAATTCAACCAATGTAACCAGATAAAGCCGAAGTGTGTTTGCAAAGATGTGCGACACTCATTGCATTTCATTGACTGCTTAACCGCAAGCGCCATTGTAAAATTAGTTGTTTGATATGGGTATTCACTTAATCTCAAAATAAGGGCCTTACAATTTCTTCGCTGCGTTCGAAAGGGTGCTTATTTTTTACGAGAAGCTTTATAGGGTAAAACAAACTCAAACGATGAGCATTGGATGTCCGGGGTGAAAAACATAAACAAAGGCCGAAAAGTGGTCGTTTAATCTACGAATTTGACGGCCGCTTGCAACATGAACAAATTTTTAATACTCTAAGAGATATATGCTGCTTTTAACTGTTGATCTACATCAGGCTCGAGAGGTTATCTAAATATTTTTTTGGTTGATACAATTTTCAAATAACTGCGCTCGTTGTGAATACCCTCACTGCACTATGGCGTATATTTGTGCATAGTATGGTAACATTTTTATAGCGTCAATAAAGTTGGTAATAAAATGAATGCGGTTAGCGAATAATAACACGTACTTGTATAAATAGCGAATGCTAAAAACCTAATTAAATAAGATTTATGAAAAGTAGTTAGAACTAGGAAAATTTAACACAAATTAATGAACTATTTTTATCGTATACGTGCATGTATGTATAACTGACTAACATATTTATATATAAATATTTATTATATTTTATGTAAGATATGAGAACTAACTGTAATAAACCGTTTTTTTGCGTCATAACTTTGCGACAATAGAATAATGAAATGCTTTGGGTATGGTTTTTATATTATTATACAGAGAATGCCCCGTTCTCTTAGTTAGTGGAAAACTACAAACGAATCTTCATCATACAAATCGGATTAACTCTGCTTTTTATAGGCCCAAAGTAGTTCATAACATTATAAGTTATTTAATTAGAAATGACTGCAATTTAATTAAGCGAAGGAACTGGGGTGTACAGAGCTTTATACCGACAGAAATCCCAAGTACTAGAAATGCTGCCAAATTTACGGTTTATAAGTTCGTCTCCGCTCTGAATGCATCCACCCGACTGTCGTAGGAACTGATTTTTTGTTCAATTAAGTGGTATAAATAAATGTATATATAAAATAAGTCCGAACAATGATTTATGTATATTTTTTTCGTCATGTTTGCTTAGAGAGTAGAGGCTTAATCATGGTGATCAGATATACTTAAATTGCATTTGTAAAATCGGTTCACAAAAAGTCTAAAAAAATTCTGACTCCATAACATTCAAGGTTAGGTAGATTTCATACCATAATATAAAATTTGTTAATATGTTATCGTAAATTAGATAAATGATAAGGGACCATATAAAGAACCTGTTTCCTAACCATTGAACTTTTCTTGGGGTCACCTGTAACATTTAATGTGCTTTGAAACTTTACACTCAATCGTTTAGGTGTGAGGCCATGTCAGATGGCATCGCAGCCGTAAAATGAGGACAAATAATAAAGAATTATCTGACTATAGAGAAGAGAGTAGATGTTTGTCTAACATTTTTATTACATTCCTCATGCTATACTGATCGTCCGTAAGCCTCCGTCTGCTATTATTTCATTCTTGCACTGAGTCGGAATTGACCGCGTTTCCAACTAAGATAAACATTTTAGAAGGCATTTCATAAATCGTTCACCCAGCCTGAGGTGGTTATAAGCCATTAGGACCTCCAAATATGAGTGATCACAAATATTCGAAATTGCTGTGCCAAATATATTCGCGTATAACAAAATTGTATGATCCATTTTCTTAAAGTCACCAGTTAAAAATAAAAAAATATCGCATGCTAGTTAAAATGTCATAATTATTATATTTAAAAACTCACCTGATGGCATAAAACTGCAAAATATGATCATTATTGCAGCTGCAGAGCTGAATAGGACCTTAGCTGAGGTTGTGAATGCCATTTTCTTTATTAATTTGTTATAACTTTTAGTTTATAATACTACAAGTCATATATTATTACTTCATGAAATTAAAATTCAATTTTTTAAGTATTTTTCCAACTATAAATATTTACAAACACTGCAAAGAGAAGAATTGAAAGTGAAATTAAAATTTATGACTTTCTCAAATATTTTTAAGTAATAGCTACATAAAAAAATATGTAAAGCCATTACATATATATAAACACCAAACTAATTAAAATTGATAAAATGTACTAAGTAAATAATATAAAATGTTATACTTAGAAGAAGTGTAGGAATTCACTGGTTTCAAACAAATACTTTTAAACCCATTTACACTCCATATGCGACATATGTATATATATTTAAGACAAGATATGTCTAAAATATATATTCAAGTCTTGTTCAGGCATTTAGAAGGGAACTTTATAAATTTCATTTTTATTGTTTTTATCTGTTATTGTTTTATTATTCTCTTTTCTGTAAATATTTTCTATCCTCTCTTCAGTTTTGTTTTCGATTGCCGCTAGACAAATTATCTACACAACAATAACACATTGGAAAACGAACAAAATAAAATGAAATAAAGGAAAGCGGCACAGTATAATTTATAAAAGAATTTATAACGTCTCATTAGCTATGCAAACTACATTCTTCAAGCTTTTTAATAGTCGTAATCGTAAAAGTTGTTTACATTTTTCGAAAACCGGTCCGATGAGTCGCGACACAATTAGAGAATTGTTTGTATTTTTTTTTTGTTTGGCAAAAAATGGTAGCATCAAATAAACATTGAACATTCACATAAATGTATATATGTAAGTGTTTTGGGGCTTAAATTTCAATTTCATAACAATAAAAATAAATTGGAAAATATAAATTAATATTATGAACACATTTTTTTATTATTTAATTTTTATTTTTTTATTTAATACAATATATTACATACAATATATTTCCACTTTTTTCATTTCCGCTCGTGACTTAAATAATTTTGATTTTAGTTTTAAATAACTATTATGGTAAGAAATTTTAATTTTACAGCAAAGTTATAAAATTTTAATGTTAATTAAAACTTTTATTAATTTTAAGAAATCTTTTTGAAATATTTGTTTTATACGAAATAAATGTAATCAAAAATTTTTTTTACAACAATAATTAAATAATTAAAAATAATAATTAATTAGAAATAAAATTTATAAAATTCCAAATGCAAATTTTAAAATTTTAAATTTGTTAAAAATGTACTTAGTACCTTTTAGTTGTTATTCCATAGGTTTTTTACTTAATGGAATACAAAATCAAAGAAGAACACAATTTTAACAAAACTAATGGAGAAATTATCAACTATTGTAAAACTGTAGAAAACATAAAGTCGACTTTCATTGGTTTTGAAATTTTGATATACCGATATTTTTAAAAAGTGTTATTTGTATAATGAGCTCTATTTAGTAGTTTCAAAACTTGCTTAGATAAAATAAATTTTAAGCATTGCATTATTTTCATAAAATATAAGGAACATGATTTTTTTATTTTACGTAGACAAAGACTACTCGGCACCGTTTGGTGTATAAATTGCCATTTTATAACGGCATAAAAACCAGGGCTGCCACCACTACAAAAGTCGATGAGGTTCGGTTCAGTGGTTCAAATCACTCAGAAAATACTTATACCGGTAAACGAACCGGTTTATGAGTATCTCTCAAAAGCGGTTCGGTTCGGTTCATATGGTTCAGTTTTTTATACTAATTGATATGAAAAACCTCATACGTAAAATATTTATTAAAACTTTTCACCGTTGATTTCAAAACTGAATACATTTACCAAACCTAGTATGGAAGATACCAATAGTTATTTTAATATACATATACATATGTAGCATGACAAAATGTAGACTGTCAAAGAAAAAAATTTTAATGTACATAAAGTGCTTCTAGAATTTCTTCTTCGAAATTTCACCAACGATCTTCACTGAAACCTCGATTTTAGTTTTCTTTGTATGTGTTTCACCAAATTTGCTGATTTTTTCCTTTCATTCTAAATTTGCTATGTATTCACTCACTTGTAAACCGGTTCGGTTTCAAAAATTCCTCAAAAACTTTTGTAATACGAAAAACTATTTGGAATAGAATAGTTTTTGATCGGATATAACTCCTTAGTTTCATAGACTCGATTGACGTAAGGTAACTCATATGAAAGTAAGAATACTCGATCACAAGTGAAGCCCATCTTATGTAATTATATACATATGTATACTAATATATAGAGCGAAGCAATCAAATTTGATGCGGGCTTAAGTAAGAGGCCTTTAGTAGGCTTTATTTTGAGTTATATCTTGTATTTTGTACGAAGTTGAAACAAATATAATACATCATTTAAATACAATATACACAACTTATACATATATCTTGTACTAAACAAAAACGTGCCACTACTTTTTCTTTAAGTACACGTATGTATTTTCAAGTCTCTCAGAAACGATCCTTTAACGTAAAAAGTTATCGTCCACTTAATATAAAAACCATTCGCCTCCTACAACTTTTATTTCATAACATTTTAATAAATAATTAATTGCGCTGATTCATTTTACTGAATTTCGATAACTAAAAATAGCGCATGCAAGTAATTGCTGCACATAAGCGCGAAGAAAGATAACCTCTCAATGGATCAAAGTGTCCAGACAAGCAAACAAAATGCAAACAATAGAACTAAACGTGCATGCATATAGCACATACAAATAATATATATGCAGATATATTTATATTTACATATATGTATGTATATATAAATAGCATTTATATACATCTGTATCGATATGTAAAAACAAACAGCTTATGTCAAATATGAAAGTTTTAAGACTTGAGAGTTTGGCTTAAATTTTAATGTTTATTTAAAAAAAAAAAAAGTTGAAAGCTAAACTTTAAGCAAAATACTAAGGTTTTTTAATTAACTTTATATGTTAAAGCGCCCTAACGCATACATCGTTATCAACACAGCACTAAACGCTTCGCTTATCTCGACTTGATTTACTTTACCATGCAACCACATATATGATTTATTTTCCCTTTTTAATTTATTCAATATATATGAATTTTATTTATTTAAAACAATATGAAGGCAGAGATATATGCATAATAATTTATAAATATTATTAGAAAATTTAGTTTTAACCGCAATAGAGTTGTGGATCAACAAAAAACGGGGCTTAAAGGATGATATTATTATATTATATTAAAAAATATAGCAAAACAGAAAACCAATCAAAGAAATAATAAATAATTTTTATTTTATTGTTTACACCGGTTACAGTTGCATTTTTTTCAGTTTTCACTGTTTTACGAAGTAAATTTATTTATTACAAAGTTTTAATGCTTTAAACTTATTTGTTAATTCCATACCAACCAATTTCAAAACAATGTTTTCAATATTTCCAATTTATTAATTTAATTAAAATTTAAATAAAAAAAAAACACTTGTAGATTAATGTTTTATTAAATATATACGTTAATTTCTTTTTAATTTTCACTGTTTTAATTAACGCCTTACAAAATTAATTATTTTTTAATTAATTCGCAATTTTTGTACGATTTTAATTATTTTTAAATTAATAATTGATTAATTAATTGCTTAATTACAATTAACTCACTGTAATAAAATTACTAATTAATGAAGTTTATTCTTTTTATCTACCGGTAATTGCAAGTAAACAAAAAGTAATTAAGTAATTAATAAAATTATTTAATTACAAAAATGAGTTTACTAAATTCATTATCTAAAAGTAATTCGCATGTTTTGAACGATTTTAATTATTTTTGAATTCGAACAAACCGCAATAAAAAATTAATTATAATTAATTTACTATCATTAAATTTTGAATTAACTAAGTTAATTTATTTTATCTACAGCTAACTAACGCTAAAAAAAATTGTTAAAATAAAATAATTAAATTTTTATTATGTTTTGCAATTATTTTAGCATAATTAATTATCAAAAAATTTTAATTAAACAAAATTAATTATTTAAAATATTTCCACTTGGTCTATTTGTAAGTGACTTTTTCTGAGACAATTTTGAATATTTTCAATATGTTTGAAATCTTTCTGTAATTAATTAATGAGTGAAATAAACAAATTACCGCAATTTCTCTAATTATAACTAACTGAAACTAATTATAACCAATCGCACTATCAGCAATCACATGTAATTAGCTCGTTTATTAAATGAACTATTCCAATTCATTCATTTCCTCTAATTACAATTCAAATAAACACTCCCAGCAGTAATTAAAATTATTTACACATACACACACACTCACAAATAGTCTTCACAAACCTGTTGCACTTAAATATTTACAGCAATCACTTAATTCAAGCCAACGCTTTGCTATAATAAATATCTCCCAACTTCACTTCGTTACAAGTATTTAATTTCATTAATTTTGTTACGATTGAATTGTACTTAAACACGAAATTAACGTCCGTACACGCGCACGTCTCAAACGAATCTGAACTTGTAAATGTTTTTAAAAATTAAATTTTAATTTTAAATTATTTTCTATGTTCCTTTTTGTTTTGTAAATCAAACGGACGGAATTGAACATACACACAAACACGTAAACAAAACACAATACAAACATAAGATTAACACAAACACCGAAACATTTTGTGACCGACGACTGATTTAGTACTCATAATAAACTCACAGAGAACTAAGACGACTCTACTCGTGCTACGTACAGCTGTATCTCCGTATGTACAAAGTGGACAAACAGACAAACGATCAGTATGCAAATAAGTAAGCGATCGCTGACAAACAGACGACGACAGTGAAATGCGTAAAATTGTGGGAGAATTGTTGTCGACAATTTCAATGGGATGGTCGACTGACTTTCCCAGAGAGTTATAGGCGTTTAATGGGTTGTTGAGGTGAGCGAAAGAGCGCAACGAAAAAGAGAGTGTTGCCGCAAAGCGAACTAGTAATTAGGGCTACAACAATGGTCGGAACACTTGTGCAAGTATTTGATATGGAACTAGAAATGCACACCCTTTGCCGGCGTCGGTGATTACAAAAAGCGGAGATAAAGTGTGAATATTCTAAGATCAAACACACATATTCATATGTTACATACAAGCAGGTGCGTACCTTGTAGGAAAAATTGAAATTAAGTGAGATATATATGTACATAACGCAAAGACATAACTCTAGGTTATTTTCCTGCTAACAGCATATAACAGCTGCAACCTCGAAGCAGTGATATTTTTTCAATATAAAAAAGGTTGTACCAAACCTCGGAAGTTTTTCTGCTCCCTGAGTCGTATACAGAAATGTATATGTGTGATGTGAAGAAGTGAAATTATAACAGGGTTTGAGGTTTACAAATTTTTAAACCCTGAACATTTAAATATATTATATATGTATACAAGTATAAATGATCAGGGTGACGAGCTGAGTCGATTTAGCCATGTCCATCTGTATATACGCGAACTAGTCTCACAGTCTCACACATACAAACCGAAGGAACTGGTCAAAGTTCCTTGTATGGAAAACTTTTTTATTTGACGAGGTATCTTCAACAAATTTGGCCTAAATTATTGACTTAGGCAACGCTAGAATTTATGAACACATTGTCCAGATTAGACTACTATAACTGCCATATAAACTGACCGATCGAAATCAAGTTTTCGTAAGGAAAACTTTTTTTTTCATTTGTGAAGAGTATTGTAGCTTCGATGTAACCAAAGTAAACTTTTTTTTTGTTTAATGTAAAATTACTATTCAAATTCTTAAATTGAAGAAATTGATAATAAATATTTTAATTAGTTCCCAAATTCTACAGCGTTTACCATAGAGTTTGAGAAGTAATTCAGTCATTAGCCACAAAATTTTATTATTATTTTATTTTCTGTCAGTCCGATATCTTATCATATTTTAATGTGGGTTGTCATATTGTAGGATCATTTATTGATATGAGCATGAAATGATACTGCAAAACTGGTTTGACCGCAATCCCTCTAGGAAATTCTAGACCTCCTAAAAAGCACCCTATTTATAAGTTTGCATATGTATGCAAATCTCAGTATTTGTAGTTTAAAGAAGCTAAAGTATTTAAATGATTTCAAATAAAATATGTAAAACTGATTGTTTTACAGAGAGCATGATTATAGACTGACTAAGTCAGTTTGCAAATACGTCGCCAGTGAGAACTAGGTACACAACAATATTGAATTGTGCTGGTTTTCAGCGGCTTGAAGCTTGCAACTGCCAGTCAGGTTTATAATATTGCATATTAATCGCATTTAAACAATCATTGAATAATTCCAACAAACAGGTTTAAAATGTAAACAAGTGCAAATGAGACAAACTATCATCAAATAAATTAAGTAGTTTGGTATACTTTGTGACACCCATAAAATTATCCTCTAATTAAGACTTTTTAAGATTTCACATTATTGGCAGAAAAATATTCGAAGATTGAGGAGCAAATGTTATCAGTAAAACATATGTTTATTGGTGGTTGGAAACAGAGTTCAAACTCAGGTCCCCTAGAACTTTGAATACGAAACATAACCTTCAAATACTCTACAGTGAAAATCTAAAAAAAAGTATATACATTTTTCCAATAGATCATGAGACTTTAATTTTTCGCTTGAGCTATGAGAAATCCTTTTCTCGTTTCGTTTCTATTATAAATACTCCGCAATAAATTAATTAGCTTCGCGTTAAAGTAACGATCGTGCTCTCTTCATTTTTTCACGATATACATTTGGGAGGTTGGAATTTTACATTTTCTTATAAAAAAAATTAATTTAGAGTTCCCTTATCCCATTCCGTTCCCAAAGTTCTTCTGGTACGAACTGAATCGTAAGTCATTGAAGAAGCGCTCGATGGTAAAATTCCCATTGGTATCTATGCGTTAAAATTATATATTGTAAGATCAGACATCGTCGAAGCTCTCTGAAGTTAGCTGAATGATGGAATCATCGCACAACTTTCTTTTTTCCCGTTTTTTTTTAAGATTAAGCAGTTTGTATCTTACTCCTATCGCCATTCCGGCCATCTATCTGGTATAGAAATTAGTCGTCGTAGTGAATATACTGAAGGCGTTTTGTTGTCTATATAGGGTTTAGTTTGAAATTCCTAAAGTTTGACTTTCAGCTCGGAAATCGACCATCAAATTTAATGTACTTGTAAATTAAATTTAATTTTTAGTTTTTCTTGACTTTATTGAAAAATTCAAAATCGATTTTCGGACTATTTTAGATCTCTAAGTCAAGTATAGCTCAAATCGGTTATTTGAACTTGTTATTATAATTTTTATTTTCTTTTACTTCTATTTTCATTGAAAGGAGATATACAATTATTTTTTATTCTGTTTAATTTTTTTGTTCTAAAAAGTGAAATTTTATTTTTATTGAAAACCGTGCCTAAACGTTCAATTCATAGTTTCCTTGAAGGATCTCTCCCAAAGAAGTGCAAATTTCGACTAATCATTCATGCAAAAAGTATTATGAACAAACCAAAATTTAATATACTTGAACTATACTATTTGCTAATATGATCATTATGCCCAATGTAGATTTCACAAGCGTATTGGTTAAAAGCGACGAAAACTCACTTAAACAGGATTTTACTAACTCTTTGGAGTGTAAATACATATGTATGATAATATGCCTACTTGAATATACTAGTCTTTGCCAAATCAATTTAGAATTTGATTACCGTTTTGCAATGAATTTTTACTCCATAACACTTTTGCTTTTGAAGAACGAATAATATATGTCTATATATTGATAGGTATATACTTCTAATAGCAGCAACCGCAATATTGATCAGCTGATATGAAATACCAATGTTATTGCTTTAACTATCTATAAAAATTACAATCTCTATATACCTTTGTATTTGTGTGTGTATTATCTATATGCAATTAAATCCAAGTAATAATTTATTACAATATTTTATTTGCATGGACATTGATTGCGCGCTTTTTTTTTTCTAAAGAAATCTTCCACCTTAACAAGCACACGCACATTTTTATTTATACTTAACTTAAACTAATCATATTGAGATGCTTGTTTCAATCAGTTTTTATTGGATTTTTTCGGTTAACAAAATAACAACATCAGCACAGCCTAAGAAATATCGCTTTTATAAAAACTATAAAACAAAAATAACCATCGAAACAGTTCACACCGGTTGTATCCAGTATTTCTTAGCTTAGATCCGCTTTCTCCGCCGAAAAAGATTTTATTTGATTTGTGTTTGGGGAAACAGAATTTCACTCAAATTTACAATTGCTTTTCGAAAATCGTAAATTGAGTTTATTTGCTCATTAAATATATAAAGAGAACTATAGTACACTCCTCATACAGAAAGTGTATTTAAAGAGATAAGCAGACTTTAAAGAGTAATTAATTTTAGTAATTAGTGAGCATTCAGAAATAAATAAGCAAATAACGACCGTCTGATATTAATATCAAAGCGCTTTTTCAAATTTGAAGACTCAACCAATTCCATAAATATAGAGAAATTTAAATAAATGAATAAATCTATTTTAATTTACAAAAGTATACATATATAATAAATAGAATGCCAAACAATACTGAACAAAAATAACATGTCAGCTTGATACGACTCATGTGTAATCTGTCAAAAAAAGGGTATTGAAGAAGTACCTCTATTTGGATCACCCGTTTGAAGCCCAAATAAGTAACTTTCAAATAAAATATTTAACTCAACATTCACACGCGTGTCAGTCCCCCAAGAAAACCACTTACTACGTTCAACATTGCTCATGTAACCGCGACGTTATAATTATTTTGGTGCATCAAACACTACTGTGATAGTCACAGTCCCTAGTAGTCTCAGGTAGGAAAATATCGAAATAAGATATATCTCTTGGTCAGATTAAGATTTCGAAAACTTTTTCTATCCCGAAACAAGATATACAAGTAAAGGCTCACCTGCAGACAGAAACAAAAATTTACTTTTGAAAAAAATTTCTATAACAATGATAAGCTCTTGAATACATCTTTAAAGTTAAGAATGTCTATTCACCTGAGAAAATGTCTTATTGGAATTGATTTGGTATGATATACAGTTTGTATGCAATAATATAAAAATACAAAGATCCGAGAATGAGTGAAACTTTAATCTAATCCTTTGGATTTATAGAGCTGCAAATTGTTTCCACAGTTTCAAAACTTAAAAACGGTTATAAATAAATGCTATATAAGCAGGTGGAACATTTACTCGTATATATATTTGGAATTTGCCACCACCTAATTTTATAGGTAAGCTCAAAATATGCATTACAAATCGTAAAATAGAAACTTTTGTATTATTAGAATTTGCTTTTAATTTTAAGGAGAGAAATAATTTTGTTTTAAAATTTGTAGATACATATATTTACAAACTATTTCATATCTTAGAGTTTCCACCATTACAAGCCTCAACAGTTTTATTGCTTTGAAAATGTTGTTACTTATACTTAAGTATTAGTAATACTTTGAAAACTAGACATTTTTTTAGAACTCCATTTTATTCAAAAACAGATCAGTTTGAGCAATTTTCTAAGTAGACTATTTGTTAAATTACTTATTAAAATTCTACGTACATTCCACTCACCTACTTAATATCCAGTTAAAGCCAGCCTTGTCGCGTTAAAAGGCAACTAACGTAATGTTAATATGCTATAACACATTTCATTATAAAAAAGCCGGCAGCAAAAAAATACCACAAACGTTTTTATTGTTTGAGAGTGTAAAAGTTTAAAGTATAATTACCGGGCATGCGGTAAAATTACGGACCAGCAATTTATTGTAAATTGCCCAGTTATTGGAGGTGTCAATAAATATGTACGATATTTAAATTATACTCATTAAATTTATGTGCGAATTGTATTTTTTGAGCTACTAGGCTAAAGGTTTGATTTAAGTGCATTATAATAGTCAATTAATTTGTCAGCAGACTACGATTAGAATTTATTTTTAATTTAAATTGCAAATTTTAAAACTTTTCGCCTTTTAAATAATTAAATATATTGTACTTCCAATTATCCAATTTAAGAGTAAATATTAGCCATCTTCGATTCGTCAAATTTTAGGCATTGGCGAATCGAACTAACAAGTGGTATAAATCTAATAGACTGGTATAATAATTTCACATAATATTTATTGAATTAAACTGAACTGTGTTGTTGTTTTGACTGAATTTATATAAACAGTTTTGACAAGAGACCATTTACGGCTATTACTTACTGAGGAAATATAAGAATGTTAATTTAATATTTCCTAGTAAATACTAAAATTTTGAGCAAAACAAACAAAAAATAAAAAACAACACGCCCGCGAACAAGATATTCTTTTCCTCAATATATTTTTATAAATTTATTTGGAAAAGGTTGTCTTGAATCTCGAGCACATATTTTTACCGCAAAAGTTCTGAAAATTTGGAAAATAAAATTTAAAAACCAACTTAACTCAAAAGCAAGTGAGTATACCTATAAATAAAATCGTTTCTGGATCATAAAATATAATATAATGTCTCTTTTTCTAGAAATGAAAAGCTGTGGAAAGTTTATTGCTGTTTGAAACCGGAAAAAGAAATATCCAGGTGAATGTTTTCATATTTTTCACATATTTTTGTAGTTATAAATATATATTCCAATCTTTACATATAATCCATATATTTATTGCTTATCATAAGTTCCACTATTTGTAAATTTAAAATACAATTCTATGCTAGAAAACGCCAGTTATTTAATAATTTCACGTCAGTCGAATTTGCTAAACTTATGATCATTAACTTACCTGTCTTTATTTTCCACATATATCGAAATATCAAATGGAAACTTGTTCATGTATGAATACCCCAAGCTGTCTTTCACAACTCTACAAAAAGTCAATCTACAGGAAATTCATAAATCATCACAACGCAGACCTTGTCTTATAAAAAAAAAATAACAATATGAGGATCATATAGTTTGTGAAAAATCTAAAGATAACCAACCAGTTGTCCATTTTCGCATTTTTTTAAATAACGCTAATTGTTATCTAACCTACTGTACACAAAATTACTGAAAATTAGTAAAGCCTTACTACACTGTGTTCTAAACGGCAAAAAAGCTTTTACTGTCTTCTAATATTAAAACCTAAGCATTAGAAGCTTGTGAAAGCTTGAAATCAAATTTTCGGCAACACAGGGTGGTATATGCGTCTAAAATTTTTATTTTTACATTTGTTAACCGAAATATGAGCTTGCGGAAGTTAAATAAATATGTTGTTGATATTCAAAACATATGCTCAAATTTAATATTAATCTTTTCTAATATAGTTTTCGGTCATCTCTGAATAGCTGTTGGATTTTATGCATTTCGTCAAAGATATGTGTGCCACTCTCCAAGGTATGAGGTATCAAACAGCTTTTAGTACTCTGTGATACTTCGGGTATATGCATTCTATTTCGCGTCCTCACGTCTTCGTCCATACTCGTTCAATGTTTGTTTTTTGCGCTAACTAATGCAAATAAATTTGTTTATCCCAAATATAACATTTAATTTACATACAAACATGTTCTCATGCAAATTGACGTGCTAAAAATAAACGAAAATTTCTATCAGAAAATTATTTTCGATTTAAATAAACATACAACCACAACATTACTTAATAGGCATTAGAGTTGAAAAACCACTACCGCTCATAGAAATAATCCCAACATAATCACATAGACAACAGATGTACAATATAACTAGAAGCTTATGTACATTTACAGAAACAAATCACTGTACATACCAACACAAAAGTATGCATATATGTAAGTAAATTAAATAAATGAAAGTGGTAATGACATCAATTGAGGGTACAAATAGAGCCCTGCCCACCCGCACAGTCGACACACAACCAAGTTGAATAGTCAACGCACAGAAGATCGTGAATTGCAGCAACAAAAGCGACAGCAATAAGTGGCGAAGAGCTACACTGATTAGTGAATCCAGCAACAACAATAACAAAAACAGATGATCCACAGTGCAGTTTGAAATGATCGCGCATTCATAGCTGGACAGACGGTACGAGCTGTTTGCTCGGCCACAAAGAAACACACAAAGGTACCTGTGATATTTGTATGGGATGTGAGTACAATAGCCTCAAACAATGATAATGCGACACATTTGACAAATGAAATAAAAAGAAAAATGAAAGAAAATTTAATGAAACTAGTAAGCACTGAGCGAATAAATCAGAGTTTGCAAAAAAAAAAAATTGATCGGCGGATAAACATGTATGCAGAGGCGAGTGTCGAGTGCATTGAGGGCGTAAGTACGATCTGCTGAGACACTGGTCCATATTATGATATTACGACTTATACTATACAAGTAGTCTAAACTAATCGAGAGAATGTTTTCCATATGGATTTTATGGGAAGGAAAAAATCACTTTTTTTTTTAATTCAAGGATGAAATTCTTACCAACTAGATGACAAGCTAAGATCTCGAACCAGGCTGAACCAGTACATTTATAGATAATTCAGTTCATGATAGTTCCTTTCCCTTCAATCAGATTTCCCCTTTATGAGTTCTATCCCAGAGCCCTTATACCTTGTACTTTCTACCACACCTTACCTGTCCAAACCAATATATTTGATTGTTTATCTAAAAATCGTTTCAGTTTCGAGAACTATGCTTATTAAAATATACATACATTAAGCGACCACCTCATTATCAAGTCATTACCCGCACTCAAAAAAATTCTTTTAATTCTTTGCATACAAAGTCGGTTAATTTTTTTATTTGGTTCGGCTTTGTCACTGATCAGGAAGCGCACTATTAAGTTTAATTAGTCGCAGTGTCGCTGATTTTTCGACCAGACTACCTTCTCGCTCTAGTTTACGCTGGTCAAGACCGCAGTAAACTGATCCGGCTGAAAGTGGCGATTACTTGGATCCAATGGCGTTCGTTTCGCACACGTCGCGTGTAGCTGATGTCAGATTATATCTGATGATCGCGTTGACAAAAGAAGCAGTTATCGCAAATTGAATTAACTGACTTGGAAAAAAATATTACATATATACGAGTACATACATATGTATGTATATATTTGTGTACATTTGTAAGTGGATGAATGTGTAGCGTGTAATAAAAAGAATTATTAATGAATAGCAACAAGGAATTGAGCTGACTATGCATCCATTAAGCGTTTAACAAAACTAGTTTTCATATGAAATTACTAATTATTACTAACTAACAGACGTATTAAAGAAGAGAGAAGAGTTATCACGCATCTTGTTCTCATACATATTCAGAGGCAATTTAGAATATCAAGCTGCATTTGAAAATAAAATATTTTCTTTATAATTACAAGATAAAAAATTTACGAAAAAAAATCAATGGAAAGTGACAGTTCTTTAAAGTTTTGTTTTAAATTTTTAAATCCCTTGCTTTATTGAAACTTTGTGATTCTATATTTACCAAACATTCAAATTAAGTGCAGTCTAACGCGTCCTTGAAAAACATAGGTTAAGTTTCGGAGATGATCACATCGACGTTGATCCCCCCATTTGGTCAGTAGAAATATATGTGATGCCGAAATCTCGGGTATGGATCAAGAGACCTTCATGCATCGCCAAAGCACTTTGAGCCTTTCATAAATTTAAAAGTTTGGTGTTTTCAAAACTGTTTGATCGAAAATTTTCGAATCAAGCTTCTGATCTATAAGAAGGTTTTTAGAAAGGTGTGTCTGGTCTATGTACAGTTTTTATAACAAATATCAACCCGTCGAAACAAAATTTAACCAAGATCATTTTGTTATTCAAACTTCAGCCTTTTCTAACCTTATTCTACAAATGGATGCCCATGCAAGCCTAATGCCGTTTCCAAGAGGACAATGGACTTTGTAAGTCAATTTTCATGGCAGAAATATCCGCAGTGTCTCGAAATTGTCTAACGAGAGGCAAACATCTTTCAAATAAGGATTTAAGCTTGGCTTTTGAATCCATAATATTTTTCATGTCACTTTTCATGGGGTTCTGAGTCGATACCAGCTCGATTCCGCCCTGCTACACAAGTAGTTTGAGAGCTTCTCTAGGCAAATGCTTGTTTTAAATTTTGCCGAAACCCGTCTTCAGAATTCTTAAAAAAGAAATGTCAAACGTCGACAAAGCGCCAAAATGAGTTTTTAGTTATTTACAACTTTAAAGTGGTCTAAAAAGTGAAGTTTAGTTGCCAGTGGAGCAATTTTCCTACATATTAGAATAACAGTTTTCGAAGATAAAAAAGCAATCCTGTATTATGTCATAACTTACATTTAATGCTTAACCTTATTTTTTCTTTCAAAACAAAATAAGTAATCGTTTCATATGCCATATTATTATATTTAAGAATAACTTTATTTCAAATAGTTGGCTTCCACTCGTTACGAAAACGATTCATTTCTTTTACTATTGCCATTGACCACCTACAAGGTTTAACATTCAAGGAAATCACTGCACAAATAACACAGCATAGAATGTCAACGACAGGGGTTTCATATTACTAATAATCAGCTATCAAACAACTAACCGACTAGCTACCACAACCCATACTAGAGCAGGCGCCTATAAATCCGCGCACAAGCCAACACTTGCCGCGCCAGGATACTCCAATAACCTCTTGAACTAATGACTCAGATTTTGTATTGCCATAGCATAAAGTGTGGCGGCAAACGGCGAAGTCAAATGCTCCACTTGGATATACACACTAGAGAGAGTTAAAACGAGGCAAGAACATAAGGCATGAGCTTTGCGCTCCCCAAAGCTCCAACTGGCGCTTTACAACCCCCGAGGTAAAAATGCTGAGCGCAAACGGTGACGACTGAGCGTGGCGCTGTGTTGTTGTGCTACTAATTGTAGATAGTTGCATTATTTTATCACTTTGAGTGTTGATATAACGCCAAGTAACATGTCTGCTGGGCCGAACTGCTACAAACTTTAACAACGCAGACGAAGAGTGCAAAGCAAGAATGAGAGTGTGCGTCAGTCGTTGATTTTCTAAATCACAACAACAATTATATGTTTTCTTTGTGCAACCGCGTAACTCAGCGCGCAAGTGTGTGTATGTGTTGGCGCTGCTTCTTCCATCCAATTATATCGTATTCTTACCCCAATTTCTGGGGGTATGCACTACTACAAAATTGTCGTCGCCATTTAAACCACACTCCGGACTCGTTACACAGCGAACTCAACTAAACTGAAACTCAACTCGACTCGACTCGACGCTACGTGACTCGGCTCGATGGCTCCACCGTTCTTCGACGCATAGTACACATTCATTTCGCATCGCGCTTTACCTCGAACGCGTGCTACGAACGCCGAACGCGCCACTCATTCGCAACTTTTGGTTGATAGTGTCGGTCTGAGTTAGATTTGGTAGTATACCAAGAATATTAAATAGAAAATTGAAAAAAAAAACACAACACATTTTTTTTCTCGAAAATATTGATAAGAATTTAACGGTTTAAAAAACTACTGCCAAATTTATTGATTAACCGTTTGTGGCACAGTGGCGTACGCGCAAAGCAGTGTAGACATATAGAAATTTTTACGATTCAAAAAGTAGAATTTCTTTTGAATATTAATTAATTACGTGTCGTTGTTGTTGCACTTAGAGCAAGTTATATATAAAATCAAATTGAAATCCACTTAAAATGCAGTCAACAATCCTCGCTAGCGTTTTGGTGATTCTATTGGCCGTACAGCAGGGTAAGTCAATGGCCGCGATTCTGGATATTATACAACCCATAGTCTTTGTGTATGTATGATGTGTGTGTGTATGTATGTACGAGCGCGATGGTTACATAATGCTGAGTTGTACAACGTTTTTTTGTGCCCCAAAGAAGTGCCACAAAACGAGAGTGGAAGTATATAAATAATTTAAAATAAACGTTTTAAATAAGGTGTGTAATAAAATGTAATATTTTTGCGAAATGATTTTCTTGAAACCCCGCTCTCTTCAGTCAAGTACATTATTTGAAACCTTGCTACACACTTACATACATGTGTACATATGTACATATATATGCGTGCGGTGCGACCAGGAACGTAAAAGCTGTGTGTACACATTCTCAAAGAAGATTAAATAATTTACTCTCTTCCTTGCTGCTACAACACTTTCCTTGGTCCTATTGGTCTCGCCTCAATTGCGCTCAAGTTATCTTAACTTATTTCCTTTTATTTCCTAATTCTCTTCGGCTCGCTCAATAAGGAAAATGCGTCCTCCTCATAAACGCCCTGCTTTCATATGCAACCATGTCTTCCTCCAACGCTCACCCTCAAACGTAAGCTCAAACATCATATTGCAGTTTACTCATTTGTATTATTTGCCCTACAATTTGTGCTTGTGACATTTCATTGCGTGTCATGCACATATTTGTTGTCACAAACATCCCACTCCCTAGTTATTGTACTCATGGTTTATATATATATACCCTAACTATATATTTATATACTCATATGATTTATGTACTCATACTGTTTATAATAGCACTACTTGGCCTAGGTTCATTAAGTAACGGTCGGTATCATATAACATGTCTCCTGAGACTTAGCTCTATATATAGTAAATTATAAATTCATTGGAAAAAGGTTGTTGGTCATTTATTAAGCCGATTTTGTATTTATTAAGATTGTAGTTAATAACAAGAAAAAATTTATATTCGGTTGCACCGAAGTTATAATATCCTTCACACATATATGTTTGATCGGTCAGTTTGTTTGACAGCTATATTGCCTCGATCTGAACAATTTCTTCACAGATTGCACCATTGCCTTAGGCAATAATCGATGCCAAATTTAGTAAAGATATCTCGTCAAATTAAAACGCTTTCTATACAAGCACTAGATTTTAATATTATAGTTCAGTTTGTATTGCAACTATATATACGCCATAGTGATCCGATCTAAATTAGTCCTACGGAGATTGCATCATTGCCTAGACAATATTTCCATTCATCCTCAAATTTTTAAAGATATCTCGTCAAATGAAAGAGCTTTCAATACAAGCACTTTATTTCGATCGCTCAAATTATATGGCAGCTATGAGCTATAGTGCATGAGCATATTTTTAGTAAAGAAAAAGACGGGTTCAATATTTCAGATCAATATCTCAAAAACTGTGGGACTTGTTCGTATAAATACAGACAGACGAACAACTTTTGTTGTGATTTACGTCCGGCGACGACCTAACCTCACGGTGCTCAAAAGCACAACGGATCAAAACAATGCTGTATGCAAGCATTAAAAGGTAAAAATGCAAGCTAGCGAGCATCATTCGGTTCCAACTGGTTAGGTGGAAGCGACACCTATTCCAGTTAGGTCGGATTCGAGGCCGACCTAAAACCTCTGCTGTGCTATGGGTCCGGCACCCGATCGCAATGCGTTTCCACATTGAACTGAATTTCCAGTTCTTCCAGCAATGAGATTTAAACCACAATCATGAATTTTCCTAAACGGCCAAACCCAATGAACAGATTGGACCGAAATCCAAGGGTTTTCTGCTCCCCGTGATACCAGATTTAAGTCTCCGGTAAGACCTTGTAGCCGAAGCTATTGCCAGTTGAGCACCCATCAAATCAATAACTTTCGACATTTGTCGCTTAAATGTTTTTTCATTAGCGGAAACTCATTAAAAGTCTATAATAATATAATTGAGTATATAGCACTATTTTTGACATAACTATCCCGATATTTCTTGGCAAATCTGAAAAACAGGCATAGTGCATATGAATTTTAGTCGCCTCTTACGACAGACATGGCTAAATCGACTCAGCTCTGACTGAGTGGGCAATCACTCCCGATCCTGGTGCCTGGCTGATGGGACTGCTAGCGGCCTAGAAGTCATCGCTTATGAGTTCGGTCCACAGGGTCTCATTAGCGATAACAGATATCACCAATACTTTACGAACAGTGGGTGAAATTGTCATTAAAAACGACAATTGACTTTGCGAGCCTTTGAAAAATGTAACAAGAAGGCAAATGAAATGACCAGGTGCAGAGTGTACAGAACCATTAATTCATATGATTGCCTTACTAAACGCTTATCCCATTACTGTTCGCGCTGGAATCATTCATTACTAGATATGTATATTAACGTTGTAAACCAAAAAGTGGCAAATCAGTTGACTCCATCTTCATTGACCAATAAAGCTTTCGGCACACAGACCATACCAAAACACAAAGTATCTTGGAGGGTGTTTTTAGTATTTTTCACAAACTCAACATACATTTAAAGAAATGTTGCTTACTTACGTGTGCGTTAAGCATCTAGAAAATTGTTGACTTCTATTAAACAACCTGAATTTTGAGCAAGAGGCATGGTTCTAAGAAAAGTATATTTGTGGGAAGAATATTTTTGCGATTGTTGTTTGTATCATTATAACAGAAAAATTAATTAAAAACCACTTCTTTATCTGAGAAAAGAAAAATGTCATGAAAGATAAAAGCCTACAGATCAAATAGAATATATATTATATTAAGTACAAGTCTTAAGGGTTTAGAGTTACATATACATGTGTATACAGTATACGTTTCTATATAAAAATTTCAAAACAAAAAAATAATTATCTTTTATAATGTCTTAATATAAATATACGCTTAAGTCAAACTAAAATTAGAGACAGTGGAGAAGCAACAAATATTTTTATTGACACACTTCGGCCTCTCCTTCCATTAGCATTCCATAAGCTTTTTGTAACCTAAAATTATTTAATGCATTCCCACAACTCGTTCGCTTCGCCGCTATTGTTCTAGATTAGAAGAAACAAGCACAACTTACTTAACTCGCTCCTTTGTTCGTTGAAAGTTCTCCTAAAAGGACAATATATTTTAGTTTTACTCAAGCTTTCATAGATATGCACGTACAAGTAAAATTCCCTGTAGGAAACTTAAAGGCATTGTAAAAAAATGTGTGCTGAAATTATTATGTCAAATCAAAGCAACTACAATACAATTTAATTATTTTGGATTGACTAAATATTTATTTTTTCATGCACATTTTAGTAACAAGTTTTAATTTGCCATTTTCAAAGTTTAAAAGAGCGACTATTAGGTTTTATTTTGGTACTAAAATTGTACTATAACGTTCAGTGATCTTATATCGTTTTAAGAGAAATACACCAGAATATAGCTTACTTGTGATTAGAATATAGTATTATATATGTAATTTTAGATTATGATTGAATGGTAGTCATCAATTTAACTCACAGGGCACGGACGGTATCAAAAACATTGTCACGTGATGACAGTTTCTAAAAATATAACGCAAATGAGAGTGACGCCAATCAGGGAAACAAAAGTCATCATCACTTATTGAATATGTATATACATATATTGTATATTGTATTTTGTATAATCAATTCTGGTCCCTGTAAACAATTACTGTAATTGAACGCAGCATTTAATTTACAGAGAATAAAATGTGATCGACGATAGCGGCATATATATTATTTTTTTAATATAATATTTTACACCAATCAGAAATTTAAAAATCTTGATTGATAATAGCAAAATATTTCCATTAGATAGGTAAATATAATATAATATGTAGAACTCATCACGAATTCTTTAATCATTCATCTCCGAAAACTCAATCGATTCGTATTTCGCTATTGCGAGTACAATTTATATAGTTTCTTTGATAACCTTACTCTAATTCGGATTTTACAAAACATTTAGTCACTTAAGTAAGCGATAGTATTCTATAAAGTTGTTTCTCTCTCTTACCCTTGCCTTTACATGACATGGCTAAACCCAACTTTCTGTATTCCTTATATAGAGCTGTTGGAAACTTCTTTCATGCTGGGATGCTCCTAATTCGCCTAACAGAGCCATTACCTTTAAGCGTTGACGCAGCCCCCAATTATTTTGCTGTAATCGTCAGCAAATAAGAAGATCTGAGTTTTTTGTGGAGCGCTGTTTTGCTAGCTACGCCTACCTCTAATGACTTTAGTACTCCATTTAGCATTAAAAGCGTTTCTATAGCAAGGCGTTCGCTTCAAAGGCCATATTTTTATGGGATTGTGGTTGGTAATTTTGCTGTTACTGGCACGACCGATTTCGACAAGCCTTGTAACAAGTCCGAGTGTATACTTGTATATATAAATCGCATATAAAAGAGTTTTCCATAATAATACCTATACATATCAGCATATGGTGGTAGCTTCGAGTTCCAAATATTCTATTTTTATCCGAATCTCCAGCATCGACCAACAAAATGCTGCTGTATCTTTAACAATTTATTTATTTTGTATGAAAAAAATTATTGTACACAAAATGTTTAATATTTTACTTTTGCTTTCACTCTCTCTATCCTTCTGTGTCTCTATCTTTAGCTCTCTCAGCATCCCTAAAACACACCTTATATCTCGTTATATGCTCTAATAAGTACATTGTCCACTTCAATGGCAATAAACAAATATAATTAAAATATAAATTGGAAAAACAATGTTATTATCAGCAAAATTTGTTGTTCTCCATGCAATTTCTGCAGTTCACAAATTTGCAACACGCTAACAACGCCAGTTCAATGTGACTTTTCTAAAACATTTGCTAGAAATGGCAGCGCGAAAAAAACCTATAGACTTGCATGAGATTCTATACATGAGTACACATTTACATATACATAGAAACTTAGGTATGTATTTGCGCCCATTAAATTTGTACAGATTTTTACAACAAAAAATTAACTAAATTTGCAGTCGGCGCGCGGCAATTGCACTAAATTGCGTAATGTTTCTCCACCTTTTTTTGGGTTTCGCATTGTTGTGGTTGTTTTTGCTACTTGTATCACTTACTTTCGACATTGAGTTCAATTAGTTAGTTAATTTTCACTTTATGAAGCTGGCAGGCTGTGGCTTAAGGCTTAAGACTCGCTTTTTTCAAAAAACCATACATCGAATTTGCAATGAATCTTCAGCGCCATGAGATTTTTACTGGTATATATGTACATATACTTATATGTATGTGCTTATGGAAATCATAAGTGGTGATTTACTTATGCTCAGTGTCTACGAGACAGGATTTCTTTGAGGTCAAAGAAGTATTGATTTAAGAATCTTGCAGAGTAAGATTTTCAAACAAATCTTTATGATATATATGCTTCTAATTCCCTAAAAGCTAGTTTAATAACGCCATATTTTTGAAAAAAAAAGTGGTTTCACCAATAAAAAGATATATTTCTCAACATCCCTAAAAATTTAGTATATTTTTTCATATTTTCTTAATATTCGTAGAAAAAGGTAAAAACCTAAGACGAAAGTACGTCATAAATATTCCAAATTGAATTGGTAAATGCCTTTTTATGTACAATATTGAAATTATCATACCTTATATGCAATTAGAGCAATGCTCGATGTTCCGGTTGCTAATATCGAAGAAATAGAACGACTTGTCAAACTCGCTTTTTAGTCCGTAATACTACTTAAATCACTTATGTATGTATGTATTTGCCCAATCTTTACAATTTGAAAATTTTTGCATACAACACTTGGTACCGTTATAATTATAACATTTAATATTTGAGGTTACGAACACATTGGTTTAATCAGTTAAGTTTGACGTTTGTCAAATTACAACCCTGCGGTTTCAAATCCACCTAACGGATCATATTCAATATAAGTATTTACGGTGCCTTGTTTGTGAGTACTATAAATAACTGAATCAACTGCAAAATCAACCATAACCATAACAATAAGAAATTAATAGACAAGTTTGTATGTACAAATGTTTGCTTATAAGTAATAACAACAAATACTCACATTATTTACATATATTTGCAATTGAATTTATTATTGACAATTGGTCAATACTTTGTTTATTGCATATCGATATCTGATTACTTCGCGGCTTGCCTTGACAATGAATGCGACAAGTTATTTGCATCAACTATTATTTACTGTTGTCTCTTGAACATACACACATACATTTTTGTTGTACATACATACATATATGCGAGGCGGTTGTATTAACTGCGTGTTTTGAAGGCATGACTACGACTCGATTAAGCAGGGTTTCAATTAGTATCGAGCAAAAATTCAAAAGCTTGAAAGCAGTGTGAGGCGTCCAGCGTATTTCTGGCATAAAAAAGTTTTCTTTTTAGAGTTGCTTGTACGTATTTGTAGGTTTTCTGTCAGTGTAGAATTTTCAAAATAATAATATTTTTAGCTTAGCATTCTAAAATTTACAAAGTGTTTTCCCTTCCTATTCTTTGATAGTGTCGATGCGTTCGGCTAAGTCATTTTCAGCACGTAAAACTTTAAATGCGTTTTTCTCTGAAATGTATTTTTAAATCCGTCAACTAAGGTACTCGGAGACCATCGCAAGTATCCGTTTGTAATTTTAACTGTAGCTTCACAGTAACAATATCTAGCAAACTACGTATAGTGTTTTGTTTTTTTTTAAACCCTGAATAGGGTAAATTAAGTTTAACACGAAATTTCTACAAAACACCCTGAAAGAAACGTCGGCGATTCTATAAATTAAACGGCGACTGCATAAAAGATCAACGCGACGAGCTAAAGTCGATTTAGCCTTATCCGTCTGTCTGTCTGTAATACGCAAACTAATGTCTCAATTTTTGAGATATTGATATGAAATTTTGCACACGTTCTCTCCTACCCAAGAAGCTGCTCGTTCGGAACCGCCCATATCGTAGCACCATAGCAGCTGCCATACAAACTCAACGATCGGAATAAAGTTCTTGTATGGAAAACCTTTTTGTTTGCCGAGATATCTTCATAAAATTCAGCATAGATTATTGTCTAAGACAATGCTAAAATCTTCGAATATATTTTGTCAGTTTTGTTTCGTCACTCGAAATAAACAAATGCCGAGCTTGGCATTGTGACTGCCATTTTGTATAAAAATGTCTATATAAAAATAGTTCTATTCTCAAAAACGTGTTTGATAAAGTCTGAATGCGAGCAACTGAACTACTTTCACCTTAATTCCAGAATAAATTGTCAAAGTTAGACCTGTTTTGAGTGGTCAAGACTGGCCTAATCCTTTTAATCTTCTAGGTTTCCCCTTTAACTTTAGTTGGGTGCTGCAAATAGTGAGAAAGGCTTAACCAAATATCAAGCAAAGTTTATTATATATTTATATGTATATGCATATATATAATCATAGGTAAATTCGTAATTGCAAACGTATGTATGATATGTCATTTGCAGCAATTAAATGACTACTTAAAGATTGGTTTTAATGGTTGTCTTTTCGACCAATTGTGCACGCTTTTTATACATATCTGTAAAAATATATGTATGCACATAGGTATATAAATATAAGTATATATATATACACATATATATAAATAAATATCTTCAAAGTATATGTAAACGACAGTAATGCTTTAATTAATCGTGTTATTAAGGGAGCTATAAACGTTTTAATAAGTATTATACGTAAGCACGTAAATATCTGTCTAATTACATATTTAGACATGTGTATGTATGTTTGTATGAATGTATTATATTTGACCAGCTCATACTACTTGTATAAACCAATCTCTAACAAAAACAAACAAACAAACACTTAAATGCTTATTGAGTGCACTTCGGCGCTTATAAGCAGGCCGCACAGAAATAAGGACGACTTTCGTCAATCGCACAAGCGCTTTTCTTCTTCTTCTTCTCCTCCTCCTCCTCCTCCTCCTCCTCCTTTTCCACTTACACATAAGTAGATATTGCATACCTTAATGATATTCCTCCACTTTTTTTTGCTCATAATAAATGTGCACACCAACATTTGCACAATCTACCGTCTGAGTGTGCAATTAACTGTATACGGCATACCGGTATTGTACCGTTAGCCTGCAATGTAGCACTCTTAGCGATGTAATACTATTACATAACCTCACTTCCGCTACAACATTTCACCCATCCAATAAGCTTACTATTCGTTAGTTCCGCTATTTTTATATCTCAACAACAAACAAACTCTTCGCAATTTGTTGTTGTATCGTTGCACAAAGTGTCCAGTGCACGCTTGAGCGCCTTTGTGCACAAAGTTAAAATTAGATAATCCATATTACTGCGAGTGCATGGCGGTAGCCAGCAGGAATCTACTGTTGCCGGGCATGTCCCGCAAGAAACGGGCGTGCAAATATGCCACTCCTTTAGTGAAAAGTACAGGTGCAGCTGGTGCAAAATTTGTTAGAAAGCAAGAACGTGACATCAAATTTGTGCAGCTGTTTGCCATTAATCATGTGAGAGCTTTTTAAACCAAGAGTAAGGCTTTTAATTTTCAAGATAGAAACTATTTAGTCATTTAATTTTATGATTGACAATCATTGACAAGTGACAGCGTCGTTAACTTCGGTTATAGACTACCCGAAGCGGACAAGTAAAATCTCTGAATGAATTTTTGGAATTGGTGCAAGACAATATCCAGCAAGAACACATCCAAATTTATGACGTAATGATAATGGCCACCGTATAGTTTTCTCTGGGTGATAACTCATACCATTAACTCTGAGAATTCTAAAAGTTCAACATTAAGATGACTGAAACGGTTATATACATCTTACTTTTTGCACTCAGATTACCAACGTCCTTCCAAAAAATTTAAAAACAACTTTAGAACTATAACTTCAGGAGAGACTGGCATTTATTTGGTAGCTTTTTACAGCCAAAGTAGAATGTTATTTACAAAATTTGTAACTTCTAGCCATAGGTTGATGACTTTTTTGTTGAAAAAAAGGTCAATACAATACTGTTCGCACCACTGCAGGAAATGTCGAACCTTTGAATGTATTTCTTATAAAAATCGTTGAGCTTGAGCTTGAGTGACATAAAACACTGTTACATAACAGTTAGACTATCACAAATTGGGACGCGCAGCCAAATATGTATGTATCTCTGATATATATTTATATTTTCTTACATACAAATGAGTATAGTGTAAACCGAACTTAAACGGACTACCCTTTATTTAAGGCAACAAATTAGGCACACAGCGTTGCATTTATTGCTTTTCTTTCTTCCTTTCACTTTGCTGCATGTAACTTTATTTCTTTAGATGATCGGACTTCCTTTATAGATATATGTATATATGATTGAGTTGTTAAATGTCATTAAATAGGTAAAATTTATTTACATAGATATGGTCATTATAACCACAGTGCTGGCAAAAATGAAAAACGATAAATTTTGAACCAGAATGAATTATTTGGAGCGTTCAGAAAGAATTCTGTTCAATCTAATAAAAAAATATTGACTAAGAAATGATGTTTTAGCACTGATTTAACGCCTTTAAGGTTGAAGAGAACCCTTCGGAATCGCTTGAAATCAATAAGCTGCAAAATCTTAGTCGCGAATCCGAAAAGCAGCTTTTCTATTGTATTTTTAGATTATGTTTTTCGATTAGGCCTAAAAAGTGATCTCAACTCTTTTCTGCTCTCCGATTTTAACCGACTGGTTATCACTCAGTCGTCCGCTATCCTCTTGCGCTCTAGATCAGTCCTACGACCTAACCTAACGCTGCCGGATTAGAATTCAAAACGAATAAAGAACCTAAAAGTAAACTGCAGTCAGTTATTAGTCGGCTTACCGCTAACCGATGAGGAACGACCAGCATCAGAAAGGATTGTTTTTATTTTTTAGTTTATGAAATAAATTTTAAACTCACAAAGTTGTTAGCAAACACAACTTTATATATAAAGACTAAAAACGTAAAATTTGTTTCCATTTCTAGGTGCCGCCATCAAATGTTACGTATGCAATAGTCACAAGGATGCCAATTGCGCACTGGATATACCGCCAGATAACTTACTCAAGGACTGCGAAGAGGATTACTCGACACGCGGCAAAGGTATACCGACCTATTGTCGCAAAATCTCGCAAATCATTGAATTTTCAGTAAACAACTGTAAGTATTTGAATACACAACAAATAACGGTAAACGAAATTTGTTTAACTTGAAAACGTTGTATGGAATTTCACATCTTGTACACTTTTTTTTTTGCTACTTACAGTACCACCAGACAGTCGCGTCATACGCTCATGTGGTTTTCTGAATCAAACATCGACCAATTACTGTTATCAACGCGCCGGTTTTGGTGGTCGCCAAGTGGTCTGCTCCTGTGACAAGGACAATTGTAACGGTGCTGGCGCGCTCAACCTGTCCATCGGTGTGATGTTCGCCGCTGCTGCCGCCAGCGGTTGGGCTGTGCTATCACTGCTGAAACGTTCATTGGTTTAAAGCGCCATTTAAGTTTGAGTCATGCAAAAACAAAAACAAATTTTTCAAATATTTCACTCAACACTAGCTTGGCTTGTTATACGTACATACAGACAGACAGAAATATGTTTTTTTTTTTGCATTAATTTCTTTTCATGCGGTTGTCGGACATGTTGGGCTGTATTGTTGTTGTTGTTTAGTTAATTGACAACAAATTTTATTTGAAATACTTGCGATGCATATTTATTATTTACACATTTCGTCACAAAATATAATTTCAATATATGCTATGTGCATACATACACACACATATACATACATACATATATGTATATTATTTTCGTCCGCTTAAGTACTATATTTAAGTTTTAATACACACAAACGCACATACAGTTAGTAGGGACAAAGATAATGCGGAGGAGTTGTCGTCACTTAGCAGAAATTAATAAAAAAAAAAAAGCAAAAACCTCACCAGATGAAATTGGTTTTAAAGGTGAGTAACTATGCCATCAAATTTACATGCATATGTACATATATAACATCTGATCAAATTTGACTCGGACTGGTTCATTTAAAACTGCGCGCACAAAACCGAATCGAAAGAAAATGTTTCCTGTTGGTAAAACCTTTTTCTGTTCGTGAAAAGTTTGATCTCCATGTTTACGACACGAAAAGTCTGCCAATTTTTACCATAAAAAAAAAAGTAACAACGATTTTGTTTGAAATTTTGTGCTTCCAATGGAATCACGATTACGGAATCGTTGAAAATGTTGTATACTGAACACAATTACTATATGAGTGGCAAAAAGCATTCAGTGAAGGTCGTGAAGTCCTCGAAAACTTGCCTCCGAAAATAAACAGTGACTAAAAACCGTCGAATTGGCATCACTGAAATAGCGAAGGATCTCAACATCTCTTAGCCTAAGAGTATTAGAGATCGGCTCAACACATTTTAGGTATGAAGCGTGTACGTGGTAGACACGCACCAAAAGACCTGAATCTTTTGGAAAAAACGATGTTCAGTGGAGGTCGCAAAATAAATGCTTGACAACGTAGCTGAGAACGTTCACCTAACGCATAATAATTGGCGACGAAAAGTCGGTTCATGAAAATGACGTCGCAACTTTGTCCAACAATCTAGCGAATGACGCTTCAAAAATGAGCCGAACCTGTCAATCCGGGTCAAATTTAATTAAGTAGTTTGTATACATATAAAATTGGTTAGAAACTGTTAAACCCGTTAATAAAAATTTTACCTCTTTACAGTTAACGCGCCCAGTTTCATCGAAGTACATACATATATATAAAATTTAAGCGCTCTCCTAGCTAAGAAAACAACAATAATAATATGTATATGAAAACAAACGTTTGATATAATAAAATCCAGTAGCAGTTCAGATTTTGCACAATTAGTGAACAAACAAAGTAAATAGCAACAAATGTGCGAAACGTTATATAAGAAAGCTTTAATGTAATAGATTTTTAATTATTAAAAAAAAACAAAAAACACATTTTATAAATTTGAAGAAATTACCGAATTCTGCTGCTTTTCAAAGTAAATTTTTTCAAAAACAATTAAAACTGTTTTAAAGTTTATGTATTGCAATGCTAATTATTACTTATTTTATTACATACAAACATACATGCAAACACATACATAGATAAAACAGAAAAAAATTGAATAAACCCACTTTACAAAAGCAACACACAAATGCAATGTTTAACCAACCGTGAATCCACCAAGCCGTATTGTATTATTGTAGCAAATCTTTAGAAAAACAGCAAAACATTTGAAACTGCATTCTTTGCATAAAAATATATATATATACATTTAAATAAAATTAAAATGGTAACAACGGGCAGACAGTGCGTACATTTGGTGCCAATTGACGATTTTCGTTGTAAAGTCGTAGTAAGTAACTAATTGTTAAAATAAAAATAACGTACTAAATTCACATGTATTGTAAAGTCATAATTTTTTTTCTCGTTTTTGCTTTTAAAATGAAGCAAAAGCAAACAGCTGAAACCAAAAATTAGTTATAGTTTTGCTACGCAAGAAAATCGTTTAAATGCAAGCATTTCATTTCAAATTGAAAATGTTTCGCATTTGATTTTCTCGTGTGATCTTTCTTAACTTTAAGCGATTATAAATGAAAATAGTTACAATTATAAAAATTTAAACGAAGAAATAAATGAAGAGTAAATTAAAATTTAAAAAATAGCGTTTTCTTACTATATTTATTTTTACTAAAATATTTTTAAATTATTTAAATTATAAAATCGATATGATAATTAATAACTTTAAAACTATTTTAAAAATATATATATGTTATTAATTTTTAATAATAAAGGAATCAAAAGAAAACTATAGGAATTATATATTACCAATAAACAATTTTAGGACTTGGGCACATTACTCTTATGGGTGAAAATTTCGTTTTTAGATTCAAAGTTTTAAAAAATGCACTCAAGGTGCACGGTAGGCTTCATGCACTATCGTGAGTAGCGATTATAAATGAGTTAATCGTGCGAAATTTAAAAAAAAAACTTCCTATCCGAAAACTGTTCTTAATATTGCTTTACAAAAAATATAACCTTTTCACATAGAGGTAATTCAAATAATAAGTCTCAAACGTTTAGGTAGCAGATTTTAAATTTCAAAAAGCTCATAAATTAATGTTTTCACCGGATCTCCGTCAAGTATTTTATATATACACAAAGCAAATATAACTCAAGTAGGTAATTGAAATCTTTCGCGCTGCCCGAGCAAGTTGAATGCCTTATACCACACACTTAGTATAAACCCATATTCAATTTATATTAGTTTCCCTTTTTTATTTTTATAAATTCATACGTAAAATTTAATTAGTACATACAAAATTATATAAATACTTATTATTTTTAATGTACATACGAAATTATTCATTTCTCATTTTATACATAATTGTTTTTTTTACGTTTTTGCTATTTAAACAAAATGCTACATAAAAATATGGAATAAAGTCAATGGAAGGAGCACAGGTATGTTTTTTTACGTACGCTGTTTTCGTATTGCTCCCCAAATGGCAATTATTTATTTTACATCTATAAACATACGTACGTACGTACATATGCACATTCGTTTTTCTATACATCATTCTCTTCCTCATCGGTTACTGGCTCCATTACAGCGTCTGGTTCACTACCATGTCTAACACGTTTCAATGCTACATAACATTTTTTATTTGCTATTTCGTGATAACCCACTGGTCCCATCTCACAGTCAGCGCATATCAAGAATTTACGGTTATCCACAGTATTGGAGAAACCAATATTCTCGAAGGTGAATATGTCATCAATACACCAGAAGTTTTTGAGTACCTCTGTTTCTATAATTTCGGTGTTCTTCCGATGTTTTTGCTGCATCAGCGGCATTTCAAACTAAGGCGAAATGAATGAGTATTCTTCTCAATATAAAGGCGTCACCGCATTTTTTTAAGAACTTACCTCATGCTCAACATACTCTCCGAGTTGTGGTTTCAGTATCAATGAATAGCAATAATTACATCGTACACTGTGTTTATTTTTATTATTTAATATCTGTTCTGGAATTTGTGCCTCATCCGTCATGGTAGCTCTGTATTTTCTGTGATTCGAGTTGTGCGATGCAATTATTTAGAAAAGCAATAAATTATCAGCTGTTATTTACAGCCGGGGATAGAATAAGATATGTGACGTTCACAATGAATATCTGCAACACGTAAAGAAGAAAATGTAAATGTTCAATAGAAGTCACATTGTGGGAACCCAAAGATGATAGTATTCTATCATTCTTGTGGTAACCGAGGTTTCGGAGTTAATATTAAAGCAAAAAATATTATTCTTAAATACGAAATTGTAATATTTTGAATATTGCTTTTTCATGTTTTTCAATCTCTCTATAAATTTTGAATGGGATATACCTTTTACGTAAACCATCGTGAATCGCTTTATATATATTTATTTACACTAGTGTCGTGATTTTCGCTAAAAGTATTTTAATACGGTTTGAACTTGACAAATTATAATCGAACAAAGTAAGTGAGACTTAACCAATTTATAATATAAACTAATTAATTATATGATAATACTGAAAGATGACTGCAGAAGTAGTCGAATCTCATGCTTCTGATATCGACAGCAAAACTCCTATTGCATCCAACAGAAATGATATAAATGCAGGTACTCGTATACGTTCACCTGATCAACAAAGACAAATTGATGAAATATGTAATTTTCTCAGTTTCAATGAACAAATTATCTTTAAATCGCAACAAATTGATGATCCGGAACTATTACGCGATGAAAAAGTGAAAATTGCGTGCGAAATATACAAAAAAAGTGCACAAACGTTTCTAATGCGTTTCGGCAGTTATTTAGAAGAACAGCATCTCGCTACATTTGCCCAGATTGCTATTGCCAACAAAGAAACCAATGATGAAATTGAGGTGCTTCTTGCGGATTATCGCAATAAGTTACATACTCGCAAGCGGGACATAAAGAACCGCCGTTACGCGGCTATGCAGCAACTAATTTCGGATGGTGAATATTTCAGTGAGCAAGAAATGATGAAACGCGCTCCGGAACTATATCAAGAGCTGATTGGACAATATTTAAGCGCCGCAGAAAAAAAGCATAGAGACGAATATGACGTGAAAAACACAACCTTCTCGGGCATATTGATGCATACTATGGAACAACAGCAAATGCAAGATGTTCTCAAGTTAGCGGACCAGCAAAATTTCAAAAGCAGGCAGTTGGAGCGTGCAATTGAATTGTACGACATTAGTGGAGATGAAACAACACAAAGTATAAATAGTAGTGCAGACGAAACAATCGAAGGAAAAGAATGTAACACCATGGATGATGAAATACCCATAAGTTTCCGTCAACAATGGGGTAATTTCGATAATGAACAAGTGGCTTGTTCAACCAGTACAAATAGCCATCAAGCAAAGAAGAATAAAAGGGAAAAACACAGTCAAAAGCCAATAGCAAAACTGAATATAGAACAAAGAGCAGATACTTTTATAACAGCAGGCGAACGAGATCTTCTACGTCAGGAATTTCTTGGTATTATGCATGAACAATTTCTCAGCGGTGGTGATGAAGACTTCGATTACACTCAGGTGGATGATAATACGCAATTAGATGATCTCACCCAAATAAATCAAGACAAAGAAGATGCTTATTTCGAAGAGAGCGACTATTCGGATGAAGAAGACAATGACATTAGAATAGAAGCAAAGGAATATCTGGACGACGAAGAATCAGAGGATGACCTTGATGTATTCATGAATCATTTGAACAAACACCATAGTTTACAAAAATAGATTTACGACTTGTTATCATTGCAAATATAAATTATTAAATCACCAGTGCACTCATTTAAAAAAGTTGCGTTTTCTATTGTCCATCCCCTCTCTCCATACCCAATTTGGATTAATTACCAAATCTTTAGTAGTATATTAGGCATATGATTTTCGAGTTTATTTTTTCTTTAAGAAATTACTTTTTACTTAAGTATGCGTCAATGAAAGCTCCCACAATTTGTTTGTGTAATTAAAATATGAAAAACCTACTTAAACAAATATAGGCGTACATATTACGAAGTAAATATGCACTATTAATTTTAGTAAAACTCTGTAATTTATCTCGGCCGACCACGGCCACGGGGAAAACCACGTCCACGTCCCCTTAATGCTTTACTGTTAGCCGGCGGGCTTTTTGGACGCAAAGATTCAATGCGACTAGTACAACCGGTAGCAGGTGCTTCGGCAAAATAGGTTTGATACAAATCGGCATTGAAATTGGAGTTAGTCAGTTCTGGACCCACTGTTAGCCAACCTGGTCGTATACTGGAATCGCGACCAAATAGGTGCATACGTCGTCGTCCCAAACAGAAATGTTCAATTATATGAAATATTTCGATCGGTTTCTCAAAGCTCCCAAACTCATCTTCTTCCGAGATAATTAAATCGATATCAACGTTAGCATGTATGAAATCACCATCTGTAGACCGGCGTACAGTACCTTTTATACCCATTAAGCAATGCTCTTTCGTACGTTGAAATACTGCTTTCGGTTCTAATTGTTTCGAGTGACCAGGTTTGTTAATATTGGTACGTATCCAACAAATATCTTCACAGCGTCGGAAGCCCCACTTTTTCAAACAATTCCGACCCATATCCAAGCCTTCTGAAGAACCGCACCAAAGAAATACAAATGAGCGATGCGCTGCCACTTCACCTACATCTAAATCTGTTAATATAAACAAATTATTAGCTGAACCTTATTTACTACATTAATTCAACGAATTTGTACTTAGGATTTCCTCCCAGTTCCAAAATACTCGGGGCGCCCCACCCACAGTTGCCACTGAAGGTGCTGCTCTGGCATATTCCTCCAAGGGTGGCTCTATTAATATGACATCAAATTTAGTGCCTAATGTTTTTAAATCCAAAGTTTTTAAGTCAGCTTTTAAATACATTGGTGCCGAGGCAGTATCCTGTATCAGCTTATCTTTCAAACGTATTAATTCCCGTAGTTTTGGATATTCCTCAAATCGATCAGCCAACCCAACGTCTCTAATAAAATTTTGTGGCCGTTGTCCAGTATCGACAAAGTGTTGGCAGTAGTCATTATGCGGATTAGATGATTGTGTGCCCTAATATAAAATTTCATGTAAATTTACAATTTAATTGAGAAAAAACACACCTACCTTTAGAAACGTGGAGGAGTCACGATAAATAATTTCCCCAGGTGTCTTTTTACCACCACTACCCCCTTCATCCTCCCGACTGCTTCCACTCCCACCACTTCGTTGTCCACTAAATCCGGAATAACTACTTCCTGCTCCATTATTCCATTCGTCTGCTGTTCCAAGTACAATTTTTAGTTCATCAACACTTGACAGGCCAAGCTTTAAAGGTAGAACAAAATAATACATCCATTAAGGGAGCACTCTTGGATATTTATGAACTACATACTGTTTGAGCCAACAATTGCTTTCTCTTGCGTGATCGCTCTTGTGATATCTTCAAAATATCACTCATTTTGAAACTTAGAAAATTAATTAAATAAATATATTTTGGATTAAATAAATCTTTTAACTAAATAATTGTATTCCTAAAACACCGGCTACAGAATAGAATTTGGATCACATTCACAATCAATTGCTTTAAAAAATGAGTCATTCACAAGGATGTGAACTTTTTTGAAAAAATAGGGAATGTACAGAATTTTATAAATTAAAAAAGTAGAATACTTTATTATATACATTTTTATAAAAATTCTATAAATAATAAAGTATTCTTAAAATCATAGTTTGACAAACGATATAGTTTTTGAATTACGCGTGGTCACAAATAATGTATTTTTAATGATAGAAAACAAGAAAAACGCATGTTGAGATTGTTAACATCAAGTAGTTTTTGTGAATGTCCATTTCGTTACCCTCAAAATTAGTTATTAATTCACAATATCAATTTATTGACATGTGTTTGACATTTGTGAATTGGATTTCATGCTCCATTTTTTAGCTGTCAAGTAGAAGTGTAATCTATAAATATTCTAAATTTATTAAATATACTGTGATTTATAGAAAATTCTACAACTTAAAACACTAGGTATATAGAATGAATGTTCTACGAAGTACGGTGTTGCTCGGACTGCTAGTGATTGCTGGTTTTCAGGTGTTCACTGCGGCACAGGGTAAACAAAAGGTAAATTTTATTCATAGTGGCTTGTTGTTTCCTCGACGGCCACGTCATGTTCTGCAAGCAAATTAGCTGCCGGCAAAATATAACCAATTATGTTTTTAATTGTATAAATATAGACCGGCCTCTCACTATCAGAAAAGGTGCGTAATTTACACGATATGAATATGAAGAAAGCATTGTTACGCTTCAATGGACAAAAGTTCCGAGAGTATGTAAAGAATGCACCCAGAAACTACTCTGTTGTTGTGATGTTGACAGCTTTGGCTCCATCTCGACAATGTCAAATATGTCGCCACGCTCATGATGAGTTTACCATTGTAGCTAATTCTTATCGTTATTCACCGACTTACTCAAATAAATTATTCTTTGCAATGGTCGATTTTGACGAAGGTTCCGATGTATTCCAAACATTGCGTATTAATACAGCGCCCGTATTTATGCATTTCCCAGCGAAGGGTAAACCAAAAGGTCCAGATACCATGGATATACATCGTGTTGGTTTTGCTGCCGAAGCAATTGCGAAATTTGTTCATGAACGAACTGACGTACAAATACGCATATTCCGCCCACCAAACTATTCTGGCACCGTAGCAATGATTACGCTTGTTGCTCTAGTAGGCGGTTTTCTCTACATACGTCGCAACAATTTAGAGTTCCTATATAATAAACAGATTTGGGGCGCTGTAGCCTTATTCTTTTGCTTTGCCATGATTTCGGGACAAATGTGGAATCATATACGTGGTCCACCATTAGTGCATAAGAGCAAAAATGGAGGTGTTGCATATATACACGGTTCCTCTCAGGGACAACTAGTGGTGGAAACATACATCATTATGTTCTTGAGTAAGAGATATCAATTTGTTTACTTTGTACATTTGTTATAAATTTTTTTGTATTGCAGATGCTATGATTGTATTGGGAATGGTTCTGCTAACAGAATCTGGTACTCAAAGCGATCAGAAAAGAGGGCGAATAATGGCAATAGCGGGGCTACTATTGGTAGTAGTATTTTTTTCCTTTTTGTTATCGGTATTTCGATCAAAGGCGCAAGGATATCCTTACAGGTAATTTCAAGTTTTTTTTTAACTACGTAACAACTTTACTTATACATATTTATATATTTCAGTTTTCTTTTCAAGTAAACGAAAAACTTAACCCCCTTTCGAGTTTTTTCTGATAAAGTCAATAAAATTCTTAGCTGATTTTCTGAGCGTACAATTTATTTAAGTGAGTGTTAAGAGAGTTGAATAAAATTGTATTGAAACCTTAATTTTTACAAGTTTTATTTAACATAAACAAATATATCAAAAATACTACTTATTTTAGTTTATAAAATGAAAGGAATGAGTGCTTTTCTATTTTTTGGATAATTTTTAAAATTTTCCTTGTACCATTTGTGTGTCAACAGTGCATTTGCCAACTAAAGTAAATATAAAACAGATATATTACTGATTGTTTAACAAAGATAACAATATACACTACCTGGTTAACAAATACCCAAATAACTACGAATATCCAAGTAGAACTTCTGGGCAATAGACCTAAAAGTGCCAAATACATCACAACTTCGAAGAACATGTGAGGTGAGGATATTATGTTGAAGAACCCACCAGTGGGTAGTAAATGATTTTCTGTTTTTACTTCTCCACTCTTAGCGTCCTTACGTAAATTAACAAGTATCATGTTAGACTTGTACTGTTGTGTCCAGCTAAAATGGAAAATGAATATGCAGAGATATTGTATGAGAGTTATATGCTTGTAACAGAAAGCTGACGGCAGTGTTCCTGTAAGCATAAATAATTATATTATCAGACAATGATAATAGCGTTTATTTCATATCAGTTATTATTACCTCTCACAAAGCCTTCAGTATTACTTAATAATGCTAATATAGCACCAAAATAATGTAGATGTCCCACTAAATAATGACTCCAGTTGATTTTACTATTTTTGGAGAATATTTGCACGAAATTTGTCTCATAAAAACGTCTTGCACATTGAATGGTTAATAGTACGCTAGCAACCAAAGCGGAAGTGGAATTTACTTGAACATTTCTGTTTGCTTGACCACCAGCAACAAAATCTAAAAACTCAAGCACTAATTCTGGGGCTGTAGCGTTCATGATAAATCCCTTTAGTAACAGTGAAAGCGCCAAAAGAGACCAAGTAAAGGAAAATATGTAGAAATGTTTAAACCAACTTTTTGGTATTTCTGTCATACTAATTAACGCATTAGCAGGTCCTTTGTGACAATGTTTGCCATATCGGAAAGATTGCCGCAAACAATCTGGTAGTAGTGTCTCGACAATATTAATAAGGCTGCCGAAAATTACAATCACTACGGTAAAGCCAATAAATATAAAGTTTAATATATTGAAATTATACAATTCAATGAATTTGTATGTTGCGCTGTAAATATTTCTCAACATTATGATGCTGATATAAATTAATTTTAATTGATTAATTTCTTTTTATTCGTATCAGTTAAACTTTCACTTTGGTCTATTATTGAGGAAGTGACGGTCCAATGTCATTTTCTTATCACAAGAATCCGGTGTAAAACATTCACAATAAATAATTATTTTCTCTTTGCTTTGAAACACATTGTGAATTTGTAATACTTGTACTCTCTATCATGGTATAAGATGTTCTCTATTTAGTGATTGTTAGGAGTGATTTTGTTGGTGGAAACGGGTGCAAAACAAAAAACAAACATAATTCATTAATTATACCACACATTAAATAAAAATTATTCAAATGAATGTACTTAAATATTGAGTATATTGCTTAATTAATGTCTGAAATGTTACTTCTCTGCGCATTACTTCTTGCTCAACAAAATGACGAGCAAAGTAGCAGTAGTGATGATGACACAGACTCCGAGGAAACTCAAATAGCGAGTCGAAAACGACAGGAATCTTCAACAAATGAAACTGGTCAAAATTCAGCTCAAAGGAGATCAGAAAAAGTAACTTCAAAAACACCCACAATAATTAGAAACAAGGCCAATGTCGTGCGGAATACTATCAAGCGACATAATAACTCGGACAGCTCGTCGGAAGAACAGATAGTGAAAAGAAACAAAACTGAACCAACATTTTCAAACACGGATAACAATTTGCACAATAAAAATTCAACCAATGATGTGAACACACGAGAATCAACAGACGATTGTTGCTCTGTTATCATAGCCCACAAAGGTTACCCAAAGACGAAACTTAGTGTCAGGGAAATACGAAAAATTAAAGAAAATTTGTTGGCCGAAATAGATAAAACAGAAAACATTGGAGCAAATTTGGGATTTTTATCTTGCGTCCTAGAAGATGGATGGCTGTTACTTAACTGTCAAAACACAGGTACAAGAGATTGGGTTATGAATATTATAAATAAGCTAAACACTACATTGAAAATGGATTTGAAGGCAACTAATAGCATTGCATTGCAATCAAAAACATTTATCTGTTCGTTGAATATACCTTTGGAAGACGTTATGCCGCCAGATGCTTTAAAATATCGTTTGGCCAAGCAAAATGTAGATCTTTTAACGGAGGAATGGTGCTTCCTGAACATAGTGAAGAGTGAAGGAGGTGGTGAATGTATTAGCTACCGCATAGATGAGAATTCAAAAGATGTTATAGAAGCGCGAGGATGCAAACTTTTTTTAAATTTCTCACAGATATCAGTACAAACAATACCAAATTAAAAGTTTCGGAAATGTGAACTCATATTAACTTCTAAACTCCAGCTTATGAATATATATTTTATTTAAAGAATTGTTTCATGAATATATATATGTGCATATATTATATTTAATTTTTATATTCAGTTATAAGCATTTTAATAAAATATATAATCGCTCATCAGTTTTCGTTGAAGCGGCTGAACGATTTAATTTTTAAGAATTCACAATAAACATTTGACAGATTTTCAGCTGTTGTAAACAAATAAATTCAATTGCTTTTGTGGGGGTTTTTGTATTGCAATAAAACTGTGTGGCCTTTGTATACAATTGTTTGAATTTTCTTTTTATCAGACGTTGTATTAGTCATATTCCTTCGGCGAATAATTGTGGAGATTGCTAACTATTAGTGTAAAATAAAATACGATTGTAAAAATTAATCCAGTTCGTAGAGAGAATCTGAAATAACCAAATTGAGATTGATTTGTGACTCGAAACGTATTAAAAAATATACCGGCTTGAAAAGGGATTGTACAACTCAATTTACAAAGGGCAGATGTTGCTAAAGGTTGGTTTTTAAATTTTGCAATTGCAACGTTGTAAATTACTACAGAAAATAATGAAATTAACTTCAAATCATTTGATCTTTTCTGTAGTGGTATCTACCTTATTCCAAATTTGGATAGTACGGACTTCAATTTGATCACTTTTATTCCTTGTAATACTTAAAAATGAGTGACACAGACGTAGTAGTATCATGGAATTGGACCGAGTTTTGCTCCACTGGAATAAAACCATTCGCTCACAACTCCAACGACTTATTACCCTGCTTTCAGGAGATTATACTACAAATTCCAATTTATACAATATTTGCAACAATATCTGCCTACAATTTTGGATATTATACGCGTAGTGTGTTACGTGATGAGCTGCAATTACGCCTTCTTTATTTGCGTATAGGCGTGGCAATTGTGTTGGCGCAACTTCCTGTTTGGAAGATATTTGTTTTTCATCATACAGGCGTTAAATTATATGCAGTCGACGTGTTGGTGGTGGCGACAGAATGTGTGATGTGGGCTGTTCATGTAGGTGTGTATAAAATTATAATTAGTGCAGATAAGATCCAAAGCAGATTTGTTGATATACTCGTATTAACAAAAAGTTCATAAAATTGTGTTACAGGTTATTTATTATCGACACGTCGTTTTGGCAAACTCAGCCACCGAGGTTCACTTTGTATTAATGTTACATGGTTAGCGGTTTTAGTTTTGGATGTTGTGTGGCTACGTACCAGTGTCAGTTATGATTGGTGGCCATGGAGCTTGACAACGGTGATTTTCGATATTTTCTACGCCCTAACATTAATTCCCACGGGTAATGCTGTTTTCAGCACTTCTTTCCGACATACTTCGAACAGAGTAAATATAACTGGCTTTCATAAAATATTGTAACAATATTATGAAATTCTTTATATATATTCTAGGAAGATGAATCGTTACTTGGTAACCGTTATACTTACTTTCATTTTGATTTAAATGAAACGCATCTAGGCCATGCACAAGATGACGCCAGTTATACATCACGCTTCATTTTCAATTGGGTGAATCCGTTAATAACAAAAGGTGTCGCCGGTGGTCTTAAAAAAATTGAAGATCTCTTTGATCTACCCGATTCATTGAATATTTCAAGAATAAGTGAACGTCTACAAATTTGTATTTCGCAAACGAAAACATTATTTTGGGCACTACACAAGGGATTTGGACGCGAGTTTTACCTAATAGGCGTCTTAAGATTTATTGCCGACATTGCTGGATTTGCGGGACCATTATTGTTGGGTGGTTTATTGCAAAATAGAAACGAAAATGACAATACAGAGCCGGATTGGAGTCCTTACCTATATGCGTTGGGACTATGTGCTACAACATGGTTGTGTAAGAACGAAATAATTAATATACGTTTATTCAATCGAAATGAAAATATTTCTTTCATGTATTTTAAGCGGCTATATGCGGCACACATTTTAATTGGCGTATGTCTATGATCGGCATGAAAATGAGAATCGGACTTGTTACAGCTATATATCGCAAATCGTTAGAGGCACGCGGTCTTAAGAGTTCTCGTCCAGAGATATTGAACCTTATGTCTACAGATACAGAGAGGATCGTAAACTCGTGCATAAGCTTCCACTCTTTTTGGAGCATACCATTTCAAGTGCGTAAAACAAATGCCATTGAGAACTAAATCTTATGACTTTGTATATATATATTCACAGCTTTTTACTACACTCTATTTGCTCTATACGCAATTGGGCGCCGCCTTTTTAGCTGGCTTAGTATTTGGTATTGTACTGATACCAATAAATCGCTTACTGGCTCAACGTATTGGCCAATATTCGCGTGGTCTTATGAGCGCTAAAGATCTACGTTTGGCGGCGACCAGCGAAACAATGAGCGGTGCAAAGCAGATCAAAATGCATGCTTGGGAAGATATATTTATTGAGAAAATTCGCAACTGTCGCAAGGATGAAGTAAATTTCTTGAAAAAACGTAAATACTTGGATGCGCTTTGTGTTTACTTTTGGGCTACAACACCAGTGTTGATGTCCTTTTTAACATTCGGTGTGTCTGTGCTGATGGGTAATCCATTGATAGCGGCATCCACCTACACAAGTGTAGCGCTATTAAATATGTTAATTGGTCCGTTGAATGCATTTCCTTGGGTGCTCAATGGACTTATTGAAGCCTGGGTGTCAGTGAAGCGTGTCCAAGAGCTTATTGATGTGAGACTAAGGAATAATATTTTAATAAATTTTCGAATTACCTAATAACCAAATTTCCTTAATTTTTTCAGCTACCCAATTTAGATTTCTCATCCTATTATAATCCAATTATAAGATCTACTGGCTATGAAAACTCGACGAAGTTGGACGATAGGCCGGTAGTTCTGGAAATGAAATCCGCAACGTTTGTACATGACAATGGCGCAAAACAAAACAATAACGGCCATCAGCCAGAAAGATTCCACTTAGATAATGTCAATTTAACAGTGAGAAAGGTGATGTCCTGTGTTTTGTTGTTATTTACAAATATAATGCTTTATATTAATATTTTGTCATCATACAGGGCGATTTAATATGTCTCGAAGGACCCGTCGGTGGCGGCAAAAGTGCTTTGATCGATGCTATAGTGGCTGGTATCAACTGCGCAGCGGGAAGTGTATGTGTGCACGAACTGACTTCGGGTATTTTTTTATATAATATATATAAATATTGTCTTATATAATATTTCTATAAATATTTTACTATATAATATTTTTGTATATATTTTACTATATA